GTGAAGTGCGGTGCGCTTTGTGCTTTGTGCTTGATGGCCACTGTGGTGGTTGTTGGAGTCTGGAGTGTGTCTGCTGTGTTAGTGGTGTTTGTGCAAGGAGCAAACAGAGCTCTTAGAGTGCTGGCTGTGGATCTGCAGCCTCGATGTTGTGCTGATCAGGGAGGTTTGGGGACTGGGCCTCGTGCTGCTGTTGGGTACCAGCGGGGTCCCCCATTGCCTTGCAATGAGCACCTGGGAAATGTGCTGTGCAGCACGAGGTTCTGCTGGACACGAGGTCATCTGTGCCTGTTTGTCATCGAGGTTGGAGAGCACAGCCCTCTGTGCAGCTGTGCAACAGCTGAGGTGGAATTGTGCTGGTGGGAAAAGCATGCGGGCAATGGCTGCGTTATTCGCCTGTCCCCAGGAACAGAGGGGATCCTGTGTGTGTAATGCAGTCTCTGAAGGTTTGAATAGTTTTTTTCTGCTCTAACTAATCTTTTTAAATGCTTGACGGGCTTGTGTTCTGTAATTGAATGCATTTTATTTAGAAAATAACATTTAGTACCACTTTGGATTTCCAATTATTCTTCAATGGGGCTTTGAGGGCCTGACGCCTTTCTCATTTTGACACTCACAAATGATGGTAACATCAGAGCAAGGAAACAGCAAACTGTCTACGCTGCTGATTGCTGGGCTCAGGGGGAGCAGCAGGGCTGCACTGAGTCTCAGCATCAATCCATTGAATGGAATGGCAGCGTTGTACCAGCAGCAAACATGCCATCACCCCGTGCCACTGCTCCGTGTCATTGCCTGTCCTTTTCTCACTGCCTTGTGCCACCTCTGCAGGCCACCTCTCACGCCCAGCAGATGAGAGCAGAGGGACAATGCTCCTGAAGTCTGAATGGCTCCTGCAGGGCATTGCTGCCCTTTGGTGCCAGCAGCAGACAGAGGTGAAGGGTAAGCGGGGATCCAGAGGAGATGGGGAGCAAGGAGCACAACCAGTGATGCCCACTGCTCACCTTGAATGCATCTCCTTCCTGTGCCTGCCAGTTTTATGACAGAAGAACAAAGAAGGGAAGCAGATAACTGCAGAGGTTCATTTGCCAATGTCAGCTGCCGGTGTCTCAGGAATAGAGCCATCAGTCTGTCCCTCCTTAGCGCTGGGCTGTGCAGGCAGTTTTCCATTTGCAGCATGGTTTATTCACAGCTCCCCATTTTGCAGGGAGGGCTCTCCTTTTCCCTCCTTTTTTTTCCCAGGGGTGTCCCTAGCACTGCTGTGCCCCTGAAGTGCAGCTCACCACAGAGGCTCTCCCATCCTCTGCCTTTGCATGGGTTGGGGTTTGCATCCTGTGGGACCTCCAGCCCTGCAGGAAGACACAGCCAGAAAGAAAATTCTGCTTGGAAGCACTGGGAGCTCCTTCATAGGGCAGGAGGGCATCACCACGGTGCTTCTGCCCCAATCCTCAGTGGGGTCAAAGCAGCCCTGGCCCCAGTGCCCAACACTTGCACTGTGCTTTGCTGCACTGCCCAGCATCTGGGAAAGGAATGTTGAGGGCTGCTGTGCAAACCAGCTGCTGTCTGAGCAGGCTTTGTTTCCAATGTAGGGAATCTGCTGTAGGGAATGATTTAACCTCCATTTGTTCTTTTCTTTGTGTCATTTCATTAAATAAGATTTATATACAGGTTTAGCACTGGAAGGATGGCCCGTCCCCTGGGCTGGGGCAGAGCTGAGCATATTGCTCCTTCCCATGTCCGTGCTTCACCCGTTGTTTCAGGGCTGGAAACACACTGGCTGCCTTTCATCCCCAGCAGATAAATGCCACCAAGCACTCAGGAACCACCTATCCCCTATCTCTTCATTAGCAAAGCTTCTGATGGGGTTCATTTCACAGTCCCTGGGTGGGAAGGAGGACGCTGAGCTGCAGAGTGCAGAGTGCATTGCTGCAAGCAGCAGCTTCCATATGTGCAATGCTTGGCTCCTACACAGAAATGCAAAGACTCAGTGCAGTGATTGGGACCAGCCCTATGCACCAGTTGCCCTCAATACTGGAGATGTTGGAGATGTGCTGGAAATGCTGCCTGATGCTGGGGAAAGGAGGAGGGGGAGCTCTCAGCCCTGCTCTCAGCTCTGCAAGGTCTGCTGTCCCCCTGGGGAGGGATAAGCCGTGCGAGCACTGGGAAGGGAGGAGGAAATGTCTTTTAACAGTAAATATGGCCTTGTTATTTATCAATGCAGAGTAATTGAAGTAATTTCATGTCGTTTTTAAATGCAGTGCCTAGGGATCTAATCTATCTGTCTAATATTAATGGGTAATATTTGGTTGCCTCATTCATTCATTACTGTTTTCATTAAGACTCTAATCCCATTTAGGAGTCTGTTTGTCATGTTAAACTCCTCTGTTTTATCTTAGCCTGCCACGATCCTTTTAACAACTTCACTGAATTCATGAGTTGTAGGCTGGCAGCTCGGGAGGGACTTTGCAGTGAGTTCTGTGAGGAGAGGGGAGCAGAGAGCTGAGGGCGAAGCAGCAATTTCAATAAGCGCAGCCCAGCACCATTTGTCTACTGAACTCCAAACTCCGACACCAGGCATAACTCCAGACTGGTGCAGAATTCTATTTTCACTGCTCGCCTGCAAAATAGAGAGGGAAAGAAGAAGTGTGCACTTCATAATTATTCATCTTAACTCATTTCCTGCTCTTAAAGCATGTTGGTGGCTGCAGGGAGCGAGGTGCTGTGAGTCGCCAGGCACCAGGGAAGGGCTGGACGAGGGCCATGAACTGACGTGAGATGAAAGTTTACTGCATCGCTCTGATCCCCGCACTGATCTCCACCTGAGCCCAGACATTTTGGCCTTTCATCCTTCTTAATTAGTTCCCCAGAGGCTCGGGCTAATCAGCACAAAGGAGGGGTCCCAGCGGCAGGGCAGTCTCGTGGTGCCATTTGTCAGAAGTCGGTGCCAGCGTTTGGAGATGGCCGCTCCTGGTGATGCGTGTGGTTGGAGCCAAGTGCTGCACACGTGTTGGGAAAATACCCCACTGTGTGCTGCTGGGAATTGTGCTTACCCTGCTCAGGAAGCATCTGGATCCCTGCGCTTTGCCACTTCTCATCGTGTGAAGGTGATGATGAGGTTCTTCCAGCAGTGAAGCCACGTTGCTTGAATCAGAGTTGAAGGGACTTTCTTCGCATGCTTCTGTAGTGCTGTAATTAAAGAATCCCCCTGTAGCCATGGAAACGCTGTCCCTGTGCCCTCTCCCACTGTCTGCCCAATGCTGCAGGTGTCCAAGGACACTCAACTACCTCATGGGAAGGCAGAGCGAGGCCCTGCTCCATTCCAGGACCCAAAGGATGGGGGTCTTCTTGCTCTGGGGTGCTCCTACAGTGCTGCTTCTGGGGGACTCCTTCATTCAAACTTGCTTCCCTTTTGCTTTCCTCCCATCCCACTGCTGCCCTGCATGAGGCACTGTGTGGCTGTCCTGGGCTGCAGTGGTGTGAGCTCAGCTCCAGCTCTGCTCGGTGCAGGGTGAAGTGGAATCTTGGGGACCTGAGGTCCTTGCAGCACTGACCTGGACAGCAAGGATGAGAAGCAGCGGGAAGAAAAGTGCCAAACTTTGTACAAACTCCTAAGAAAGTTTGGCTTTCCCTTGCCCTGTTACCTTGATGTGTTAACAGCTGGGACTGGAGAACCGGTGCTCCTGCCCACAGCTCTCTTGCAGCAGCATAAAACAGTGGCATTGTTGCATGAATGAAGACAGAATCACAGTGGAAAGTTCATCAAGCCTGGGCTCCTGCTGGTTGAGTGATAGATAGCTTTAATGACACAGAGCTGGCCAACACCTCCCCATTCAACACCGATATTCCGTGAGCTGTGCAGCACAGTGGGAATGGGGCACGTGGGCTGAAAGAGACCCTGCTCCTCTGCACTCCTCCCTGCACCAACACTGCAGCTCTCCATGCAGCCAGGCTGTGTGCATGCATTGCTCCCAGCTCCCCCACACGCATCCCACTCTGCTCAAAAAAAAAAAACAAACCACACACCCCCAAACCCTGCACGATTTTTGTTGTAGGCGAAGCTGTCGAGTAGGGCTCAGGAAACAAGAAGAATAGCGGCCCTATTGGTGTCATGTTTAGAGAGGAACTGGGTTCTCACTGTGTCAACAGCACTTGGCGTGACAGCAGCCTTTGTGGGATGCACACTGCTCCTTTCAGGGCTGCCCAGCTGCTGCCAGCCGCAGTTCGGTCCCGCGCAGGAACTGCTCTTTCCCTGCCTGCTTGCATATCTGGTTCCCTTCTTCTATTGTGGAAGAAACGTTATGCGTGCACCAGTTTGAGGGATCCCAAAGCAGGAGCAGGAAGACAACTTTTGCTACTGGGATTAGTGTGTGTTTATGAAGTATATAGGGTTCTGGAATTCTCCCAGCACTGGGGAACCCAGCCAAGGCTTGCTAGAACCTGACATCACCATTAAATGGATGCACAGCCATCACTGTGCTCCAGGGCTGGCCACTGGGTCCCATTGGTGAAAATGGCCTTGTGCTGGAGGTGGCAGTGAGCCGTGAGCAGCCAGCCCTCACTTGCTGCTCCATGGGCACAGGACCTGGGGGCTGTGGAGTAGTGTGCTTTGTTCAGCTCCATTCCAATTCACTGCAGTCCCACCTCGGGCTGCAGGAAGGGGCTGCAGGAGCACCACACCTGCTAGGGGTGGTAAGGAATGGATTGAGGTGGAATTGCACGTCTGGGATCAAGCAATGATCCATGGCCAAATCCCTAAATCTGAGCCTTTGGGGTTCTTAACGCTGATAAATGGATCAGGACTGTGCTGTGTCTTACTGATGTGTCCCACTGGGCTGGGTGAGCTGCACCCCACAGTTCAGCACATACTGTTGGCCAACTTATACACAGGTGTCGGCCTGAGCTCCATGTCTATGAATTGCTTTTGTGTTGCTTATCCCACCTCCCCCACCTCAGCTGCTCTTTGCCACCAGACCTGCTGAGGCTGTGCTTGTCCCTTGTCCCTGCAGGTGTCCCGTGTGCCCGTGGAGTCCTGTGAGCAGTACACGACCTGTGCAGAGTGCCTGAGCTCGGGGGACCCGCACTGCGGCTGGTGCACGCTGCACCACACGTAAGTCAGACCATGGCAAGGAAGCACCTCTCAGCAGCACCCAGTGCTTTCCGTTGCTCATTTCAGCAAAATGAGGCTGAAGTCCCTCGAATCCATCCTTCTCTTCCCCTGGGTGTTTCCTGCATTGCGGCTTGAGTAGCACTGAAGATCCCTGAGCTCTTGAAGAAAGGCAGATTCCTTCTGTAGGAGAGTGGATTGCATGCAGCATGCAGGGAGGTGCCATGGGACAGTGCAAAAAAAGCAGAATTGAAACCTGGGGGAGCAGAGCTGTTGCATTTTGCATGTTCCCCATTGCTCGAGCTGCAACCTCTCCTGATTAATGGTGGATTTTTAGAGGTGAGAGTGGGTTTAATGATATGAGCAGGAGTTTGGAACGAGGAGCAGCACCGAGCCCTGTTGAACAGAGGTGGAAGAGCTGCTGTAATGCAGCGTGGTGAGGGCAGGGAGCAGCAGCTGTCCTTGGGGGCAGAGCTGCACGTCCCAGGCACTGCAGTGAGGGCTGTTCCCAGGGGCACTGCAGGAAATACGCTCTGCATTCAGGAGGTGTTTGGGCTCTTTCTTTCCCCCACCACCAGAATGATCACTTCCTATGGCGGAAGGGGGACCACCGGGCAAACACTGATGGGGGGAGGAAGGGCAAACCCAGAGGATACAGGAGGAGAGGAATAGAAATCCCTCCGGCCCCGTGCCAGCTTGCAAAGCAGCCCCCTTACATGCATGGAAATCGGGGCGGAGGCAGAGCAGAGTTCAGGGCCCTGCACAATGATGCTTGGCCACATGCCTGAGCAGCAGGTGTTGGAGAGAGAGAGAGAGAGGAGGAAGGCAGGCTCAAATGCAAAATCCGGCCTGGATTAGGGACTTGCGTGCTTTGGGGTGCAAAACAGCTTCCAGTGCCCAGCAGGGCTCGTTTGGCTTGCAAGGAGTTGGTGCTGCATTCAGGGAAATAGGATAAAACCGTTGCAGGAGCATCCCTGGTGCACCCAGCTCCAGTGCCATGCCTGCACCGTGCCCCCAGGTGGCATTCTGCACAGGGTCCCTGCTTGCTGCAGGCTGCAGGCAGGTTGGGTGGATGTGCCTTTGCTGCTACTCCTTGCACCCCTGTAGCAGCTCCTCTGCAAGGATCAGCGAGTGCTTTCCTGATACTAATGAACTGCATCTTCATGAGCCACCTGGGAAGCAGGTAAAGGTTGTTATCTTCATTTTGCAGAGAGAAAACTCTCAATGTCAAGAGGAGAGCAGAGTGCTGTTTCCTCTGCCCACTTGGCTGTGACATTTGGGCATTAGCATCCTCCCGCCAACACTTTCTTCCCTGATGTCAATTCTCAGCCCTGCACTTCCTGCACTGCTTGAAGCAACCATCATGTTTTTAGCCTTTGTCTTAAGGTGCAAACAATTGAGTTTATCTTGCTCTTCCTGAAGCCTCTGTCATATTTGCTGGGAGGCCCCAAGCGCTGGAGTGTTTGTATTTCATTTGTCATCTTTCTCCTCTAACTTGTGCGTTGTTCCCCTCCTTCCAGCTGCTCCAGCTGCTCGTGGCTCGGTGAGGGCAGGCTGGGATGCTCCTGCTGTGCTCTGAGAGCTGCCAAAGTGTTTGTTATGGGGTCTGGATTGTAAACAGCGACGCACTGGATGTGTGAGATGGATGCAGGGAGCAGTGCCTGCTCCAGGTGTGCTGCTCTCAGAGCCCTGAGTTAGGGATGAAGGCTCTGTTGTACGGTGGGGTGTTTGCACACACGTGTGCACACTGAGATTTGGAGAGCAGTGGTGCTCAAGAGTGAAACCATCTGTGGGGATTTTACAGCAGTGCAGACGTGTGGGTGACTCCATGGCATGGAGCTGCAGGGCTGGAGCACCTTGAGAGCACACACATGATCTGGGGCACTGAGGACACTGCTTTGGAAGGTGCTCAGCCACCTGTATGTGGCAGGTGCTCGTCCTCCTGCAGAGCTGCCCAGCATTCTCCCCATGGCAGGAGGAAGGCTCGCTCCTCCTCCTCTCATTCAAATGGTTCCTTGGGAGAGGCCTCGAGGAGATCATTAAAGACTCTTCAGCCCCGTGGGATCCAAAACCCACAAGGCTCTTCAATATGCTGCTCTCTGCAAGTCTGTTATTGTCTACAGGCCTATTTATCTCTGTTAGGGCTGTTGCCATAAATAGTATGATAAAAAAGAGCCATTCCAGCGAGTCAATGAGATAAAGGCTCCAGTCAAGAGCTCACTTTAAAGCTATCTCAGAGATTCACTTAAACCTCAATAACTCTTCTTTTGGCAGGGTTCATATTTAGCTCCATTATACTCCAGAAAAAGGGGCTGAGGAGAGCAGCAGTGTGTGCTGGGTGTCACACTGGGTGCTGGGAGGGATCAGGGTGAACTTTTCTTATTGGAACACTGATGGCACGTGGGGCTGTTGGCAGTGCCTGCGTCCCCCCACCTCTGCACCACGATTGTGAGTGGGGTCTGAGATGCTGCATGAGAAGTGATGAAGTTTGCTTGTAGTTGGGTAATGCATCAGAAGGGCGCTGTGTCATCTGCTGCCGGGGGGTGGGTTTTGAAGGGAGAGATTTTGCCTAAGTGACATGGAATAGAAAAACCCCCGGGGAACCCCAGTGCTGTGCTGTGTGATATCTGCCAGACACATGAACAGTCCTTCCCTGCCTCCCCAGTGTGCACTCCACTACCACTGGCATTAACTCAGGCACATGTTTCCCTGCAGCAGCTGTAGCTGCAGCCATGGCACTGCCATGCTTTCCATTTTGGAGCTGTTTCTGTCCTCTCCCTGTTCTCAAACTGGACTTGTTTTTCATATTCTAGCCTGATTCTTCATCAACGTTTCATTGTGCTCTGAGGACACCTGCCATAGGAAAATAGGGGGTCATGGGATGCATTCCTGAGGGTAGGAACAGGAGGGATCTGGGAGCAGGGCAGGACAGCTGGTGAGGAGCAGCCTGCAGCCACCAGAGAGGAAATCCCTGCTGCTGGCACAATGCACTCCTCAGTACCAGGAAAAGTCAATTAATGAGCTGTATGCTTTTGTTTTAATTGGAATGAAGGCATCACCTTGTTTCCGCTTTACGTTTTATTTTCTATACATCTAATGAGTTTATGGCTTGCAGGAACGAGGTGTGCAGGGCCCTTTGATCCTAACCAGGCAATCCATACCTGGGCCTGGGCAGAGCATCACCCGCAGTCCTTCCCCTACCCAAAACTCTGCTCATCTTGCAGCTCCGTGCACTGAGGTGCACTGCTGTGTGCTGATGATGTGCACTGCTGTGTGCTGATGATGTGCACTGCCATGTGCTCCCCAGGTGCTCCCCACGGGACAGCTGTGAGAGGGCTGACGAGCCACACCGCTTTGCCGACAGCATCAGGCAGTGCATGAGCATCATGGTGCAGCCCAGCAGCATCTCCGTGTCGCAGCACAGCCTGCCGGTAAGCGCTCCACTCTCCAGTCTTTTTTCCCTTCCCACTGCACAACTGTTTTCCCATGAAGTCAGGCTTGCAGAGGGATGGGTTTGGAGAGCCAAGGGGGGAGAACGGGGTGCAGGGATCACAGCAACAAATTCCCCCTTCCCCATGGGCCCCAGCTCACATTTCTCTCGGTCTGGTTTCATGAACTGTTGAAAGGAAAGGCTTTGTTTCCCCAGAAGCTTTGCCCAGTGCTGGCTCTCTGAACCTCCCAGCTGCTTCTCCTGAGCTCCTGGTGCCCGTGGATGGGCTGCAGCAGCTGCAGCCTCTCCTGGGGCCGGGCTGCATGGGGAGCTCGCTGTTGCTGCTGCAAATGCTGGGAGCTGCTCCTGGCTGTGCAGGTCCCTGATACAGTTGAAGGTAGCAGGGGTTTGTAGGGCAAGCAGCTCCCTGAATTGCAAAGATTCAGTGAGATGTTTCTGCATCAATAGATTGTGCGTCATTCAATGACATCCAGAGGGACTTGAACAGGTTCAAAACTTGGGCCCACAAGAACGGATTGTGATTCAACAAAGCCAAGTTCAAGGTGTTGGCTCGGGGTAATCCCAGGTCTTTGTACAGAGTGAGATTTGAAGGGCTCAGATGCAGCAAAGCAGCAGTCCTGGCTGCATGGAGCAGGTGGGGGCTGTCCCGCTAACACACTGCTGATGTTCTGTGCCCCCATGCAGCTCAGCCTGCTGGTGAGCGATGCCCCGGACCTGGCAGCTGGTGTCACCTGCCTCTTTGGGAACCTGACAGAAGTAGAGGGTCAGGTGGTGGGCAGCCGAGTTGTGTGCGTCTCACCGGCTGCGAGGGATGTCCCAGCCATACCCGTGGATCAAGGTGAGCAAACAGCTTTGGATTGTTCCTCCATTAACAAGTGGCCGCTGTCGTGCTTTTCTCTTTCCATAAAGAGACTTGCACAAAACTCATTTTCTCCTTGGCATCCTTGTAGGTGTCAGCTGTGCTGATGTCTTTGTGTCGCCGCGACACGATATGGAGACTGAGAAGTGTTAAACTCAGGGAGCCAAGGTGGCAGGGCTACTGCAGGTGTACCACAGCCCAGCAATCTGCTCTTAATTAACTCAGGGCTGAGGCTCCCAAAAAGCACTGCTGATGGCCTTGCTTCTACTGTTATCTCCTAGTCTTGGGCTAGGCTGAGTTACTGGGCTTTTGTACAGGAGGCAGAATTCCAATATGGAACAGCATGTCATCCCAGACTTGTTTCAGCTGTGTCCTAAGGCAGATCCCCACCCCTCCCATGCATTTTGCTATCTGCTCTTATCTGTGTCAGAGGATTTGTGGCTGAATCCCCTGTGTTCCCACGTTACCTCTGGGCACTGACTGGCTCTGTCCTGCTCTGCAGACTGGTTCGGTGTGGTGCTGCAGCTGAAATCACAGGAGACGGGAAGAACATTCGTCAGCACGGAGTTCAAGTTCTACAACTGCAGTGCCCACCAGCTGTGAGTGCCCACCCTCCTTCCTGGGTGCAGGGGGGGGGGTCCTGGTGGGATGGGGTGCACCCTCCAGCCACGTGCAGGCAGCAGCCAGGTGCTTTGTACCTGCTGTGGATGGAAGCTCCAGCTCCCTGCCCTCTGAGCAGCCTGCAGCTCTCCTGCCTGCTGAGATAGAGGTTGCAGGAGCCTGAAAAAACCTTAACCTGCTGGTGCCCCCAAGCTGCTCCATCCTGCAACTGTGAATGTGGATGCTCACAGAGGATGAAGCAGAACCAAGTCCAGGATGTGGGCTGGGAGCAGCAGGGCAGAACCCAGCACAGCAGTAGCGCTGGGCTGGAAGGCTCCATGCTGCTTTGAGCACAGTATGTGCTGTTCAGCCCCCTGCTCTGCTCACCCTGGCAGGCACACACATGGCTGTGTGTGAGCATCTGAAGTGTTTATAGATTTCTCTTTGGAAGCACAGCAAGCACCAAAGCACCCAAATGGAAGGCAGACAGGACCTGGCATGGGTCGGGCAGTGAGTAGCAGTGCCTGCAGGGTGGGCTGTGTCTCCCACAGCAGGGCTCAGCTCTCAGCTCTGCTTTTGGAGCGTACTTTGCTGCCCGGTAGGAGTTGATAAGTGCCAGCATGGGGTCACTGAGAGAGCCTTTCTGCCCTGGATTTGAAGCCTTGTGCTATGGGAAGTTCCCTGCTGCACTTGGAAGAGGGCTGCGTGCTCTGGTGAGCTTGGCTAGCAGTGGGTTTTTCTAGGCATGCATTCAATGTATGTTTTTTTCACTGCAGAGGCACCGGGATGAAAGAAGCCTTGAGGGTCCTCCAGCCCCCACTGCTGCCTCTCCCGGTGGTCTGCATCCCCTGCTCCAGTGCCTCCTGTTGTGCTGCAGTTTTGCACAGCTCTGTTCTTGCCCCCTGTCCCTCAGTGACAGCATTCCCTGCTCCTGCCATCACCTATGGTCCTGTCTGCGTCTTTTCTGGGTCCTCAGATTTGCCTGAGAGGTGACTTTATAGGACCCCTATTTTCTCCTCCATGTGGAGGTTTGGATCAGGAGAGGCAGTGCATCTTTTCTGTCCCTTGGCTCCATCTAACCATGCCTTTCTCAAAGCTCATGTTTGGAGATAAAGTGTGAACATGGTTGTAAATTCTGTAGCACTTACATCATCCTGAACTCATTATCAACGAGTTCAGCAAGGGCACGAGCCAGCCTTGCAGGAATGAATCACAGCATGTGTAAAACAGAAAGGAATACGGGCCTGAGCCAGCACAGGAGGGGACCTGTTGATCAGAGTCCCTTCCCTGCAGCATGGCAGAGCAGGCAGGGGAGCAGCTGTGGTTGCACAGCAGCATGCACAGGGACAGTGGTGCATGGAGTGTGCACCTGCAGGCATCTGGAGCTGGCTGGAGTGGTAGAGAGCTTTGTACCTGGTCAGGAAGGGGTAGGTTTTGCAGACAGCTTTTGCTAGACAATGTATTTGGATGCAGGTATTGTGAGCTCACCAGGCTCAGCTCTTGAGTGTGTGAGTTGTCATGGTCAGGGACCTTGCTGGTGGCTTCTGCTTTAAGTCCATTTTCACAAGATAAGGGAGGGATGCACTGGAGACATTGACTCATTCTTGAAGCAAAGGAGAGGCAGCAGTCCTTAAAACCAGATCAGATCGAGAGGCCATGTTCTGACTCAGGACTGGCTCACTCCTTGCAGCACGGGGCTCCCAACCTGGTAACCCCTTCCTCCTTTCTCCCCCCAGGTGCCTCTCCTGTGTGAACAGTGCATTCCGCTGCCACTGGTGCAAGTACCGCAACCTGTGCACCCACGATCCCACCACCTGCTCCTTCCAGGAGGGACGGATCAACATCTCAGAGGTACCACGCTCTGCCTTCAGCTCTTTCTTGGTTGCTTTTCCTGTGGCACCGTGAGCAGAACCAGCGCTCTGTGAGGCTGTTTGACTTCACTCTGGTTTTGCATCTCTGGAAGTGCAGCTGCAAGCAGGAGCACAGCAGTCAAGTTTTGGTGCAGGACGAGTGATGTGCCTCAGCCTGAATGCTGAAGCTGATCCTGCTTTCAGTACGTGGGTCTGCTCAGGTTCAGTAATAACCGTAATTAATCTTTTAATTGCTGTAGTGCTTTCCTTTGGGATCTCAGGGGCTTTACGAAGCATGCAGGATCTGCCCTGCAGTGAGTGCAGTGCAGAGCTGCTAGTGGGAGTCATGGTGCTTCATTCTGGGACTGCTGGCAGCTTTGCAGCAGGGGCTGGAACCCAACTGCAAACTGATTAAGAAAGGAATTACAGATGCAAAGAGCCCCAGACTTTGGAAAAGAGAAGTGCTTCAGGTTTCAAGCGCTGAGGACCAGAAGCGATCTCTCTTAGCTGTTAATAAAAAGTGTGGGGCTCAATTCCAAGAAGGCTTTTAACACTTAGAAGGAGGCAAAGCCCATTATCGGCTTTGCCAGATCTTCTGTGTTTCCTGAGGTAGAGGGATTTATGGAGGAAAAGAGTTTGTTAGCACTGATTCCTGATCAAAGTTACCACCAACCCTGCAGTTTGGGACCTTTGCATCTTGTCCGCTTCCTTGCAGCTGTATCCCAGCAGCAATGGGGCTGAGACAGAGCTGCATGGTGCTCTGCCATGTGGTTTCACCTAGCACAGAGCAGATGCAGCCGGGCAGCGACTGGTCATGGCCCCTCTGCCCTTACACAGAGCTGTGGGGCAGATGGAGGGCTCCTAGGGACAGGATGGGCAATGCACGCTGCCAGCCTCGTGCCACCCCGAGTGGGGACCACGGGATGCACTCACAAAGTGCAGTGAAGAGTCTCATGCAGGGTACAGACATCCAAGGAGAAGTGTCTGCTCTGGGGACAAACCAAAAGCTTTCCCAGTCCAGTTCAAAGCCGAGAGACTTCCTTTTAAGATAACAAGAGAAAGAAAAACCTTTGCTTTTGCTTCTCTCAAGGGGTGCGTGTTGTTTCTTTTTTCCTCCTTCACACTCAAAGCGTTGCCCTCTTCCAAGGCTGTACAATTGCAGTTCTCACTTTCATAGGTCTTCTGCCCCAGGATATCAGGAGTGTTTGACAAGTCTCTGCTAAAGTAGGACACGTCCCTTGCTTTGCTCCAGGAGTGCGTGGGACTTGCCAGCAGTCGTACCTCTGCCCATCCCTGCTGGGCTGATGGGCAATCACAGCTCCAAGGCTTTGTCTTCCCCTTCCTTTCAAGTTCTCAGCCAGGATGTTATACAGTAATATAACACCCAGCGATGGTTTTTGATAAAGGCAAACAATAATGATTTAAATACTCCACTACTTATCACGACTTCTCTGTACCTCTGAACGCACAGGTAAAACCAACCAACCAGCCAAACCCAAGTGTTTCTTTGAGGTGAATGAATGGCCACTAGTGTACACCTAATGCCCTTGCTGTGGGCATTCCATCCTGCATCAAACAAGTGCCTCCTGAAGAACTTCCTCTCCTAAAGCAATTCCAATCACAGTGGCTTCAGTGTGTAGTCTTATCAGCATCTCTCCCTTTGAATCCCAAGGTCTGTTGTGCACAGAGTCCTTTGCAGAGCTTCAGCCCACAGGGGTCACACGTGGAGCTCTGTGCCTGTGGCATCATGTTAGCACGTCCTGGGGGTTGGATTTGTGCCTGGGTGGCTCGTGGCTATGATGTGTTGCTGTAAATACATAGGATGTGTTGCTGTAAATGTACGAAACGCAGAGATGAAGAGGAATGTGGACGCAGACATATTTGTACACCCGTCTCAATGGAGGGCTAGAACCAAATAAATCCCATTAGTTTCCCAGAATGTGGGATCCCTTCCTGCTTTGATGTGTGGATAATGCCATTTCCACATGTGAGATGCTGAATCAGGGGAGCGGAGCGTTTCAGATTCTGGAAGTTAAGTGCAGAACCAGATTTAAGCTCTGTTCTGACTCTGTGGATTTGGGATTTAAATTATTGCTGCTTTTAGAGCAACGTCTTTGCACCTGGCTGTGCCCTTTGATGCTAAGCACTGCTCGATGCACCTTGAAGGATATAAAACAAGCCAAACCTTCCTGGTACCTGTTCCTACCATCCTCAATTTGAATGCCTAAATGGGAACTGGTGCATGAGATGCAAGCAGGGGCTGCATTTCCGTCCCCTGAAGTCATCACACGGTTTTGCTGGGTCCCATCTCACTTCTGAGAGTGAAGCCCAGCACAAAGCAATGCCAGCAGTCCCTCTGCTGCTGCCTTGCTTTGCACGTCTGGTTTCTAAGGAGCAAGATCTGCTCTCCTCTCTGATGGCGTAAATGGAGAGTAATGTGTCTCCATGAGTGATGGGGACCGTAATTTATATCATTGGGAGCGCATCTGTGAGCCAAGAGTTTACATTCATGTGCCAGGATCGTTTATGTTCAGAGCTCTGAAATGTGTGCAGCTAGTTAACATTTGTAGAGGCCTTTCATATTTTTAGATTAAAAAAACGGAAGAAATGTTGTTTTTCCTTCCATTTGGGTGAAATCCTTCAGTCAAAAGCAATGCCTGCCATTTCCAGGCACTCTTTTTGCAAACAAGAGTGAGGTTTGACCCACTAAAAGCACTCTGTTAAACACAAATAGTAACCATGGGTGCTCTGCTCTGCTCCACAGGCAGATGCTTATCTCTGGCGTTTAAGGTATTTATAGACCTCGGAATCTTTGAGGCTAAAAAGTGTTGCAGAAGCATAAAATGTCTTTGTGAACTCTGCACAGCTCTGAGTTTTCCCCAAGTCTGTGCCACCCGTGCATCACTCCGCTTTTTCTCCAGCGGATCCTCCAAGCTGTGTTTGTTCTGCTTTACAGAAGTCAAGGAGGATAATGAGGGAATTCAGCACGTGTTTGTTTAGTGATTGGAGGTAATAACAGCCTTCCTGGCTCGGGGCAGGCTCTAGTCCTCGTGAATTAAAAAACAACGACACAAAGTAAAGGGATGATGGAGCAAATTGCTGGGCACCTCGTGGTTTGCATCACCGTGCAATGAAGGGCTCCACTGCTGCTCCCCTGATGGTGGCTCGCCATGGGTTGGGTGCAAAGAGGAGCAAAGTCTGTGCTGGCAGCTGGGTGGGGAGCGCTGTGCATCCCAGACTGCAGCACCTCGGTGGTGGGATTCCCCCCAGCCTGCAGTTCTGAGTTGTGCTCCCCCTCCCAGCACCGCCAGCTTTCTGCTGCTGGAGCTCAAACCGCTCCTGGCTGTTAATCCGTGAAAGTCTCTGTTAGAAATAAAATAAAAAATATATAAGGAAAAGTGCCTCTAAAAAGGTTTACGAGGCAGCTACCAACTCCTCCGTGCTCGGGCAGCAGCTGGTTCTCATTGACAACTTGCCCGAGCTGGGAGCTGAGCTGGGAGCGCAGTCCTGATGCCATCAGTGCAGTGCAGAATTCCTGCCTGGATGCATCCCAGCAAAGCCGGCTTTAGGGCTGGGCAGGAGAGCTGCAGTGCCAGCATGGGATTTGGCAGAGCAGAGGGAAGCATCCGTCAGTTTTTTTCACTAAAACTTCAGCGTGGGATTAATCACAGTGTCAGTTACTTACAGGTATTTAGGTACCTATTTCCATCAGATCAAAGCAAATTAGAGCTAAATGGGATGTAAATGCTTCTGATGGTCAGAGCCTTTGTCACTGCATGTTGCAGTCCCTGGGACAGAAATCGAGCAAACCCTGCATGCATCTCACAGTGTGGCACGAGGAGAAGATCATCTTTAGGATGTTGAGATATTATGGGAGAAATGTCATGCATTTACCAGGCACCAGCAGCCCTCGTTGTGGCTCATCACAGATTGCTGTGTACAGCCCCATCCATCTCATGCTTGGGTGTGCTTCTCAACAGTGCAGCAGTGTTTGCAGGAGGATTCCCTTTCTTTGCTTGGAGCATCTTCAGCAGTGAAGTCTCAAGCTCCTGCAATAGCAAATGTAACAGAAATAGCAATATGAACAGCAGCATTAATGTTAAAAGTGGCTGCTGATTTACAATTGCGTTATTTTGGCCAGATAGTGGCAGAAGTGGGAACAATTCACGCTTCTCTACTTAATGCTTTAATTACTGTGCTTAGTTACAAGAGCCCACCACCACCCACTGCCATGCTTTCAGCATACACAGTTCCAGTTCTTCTCTCCCTCATTGCAATCTCACTGATGTTTGAAACATTCCCACCTGGTTTTCAATGGAGAATATAAAGGACCGCTTCCAGTTTCTTGGCACTGTGTTCATCCCAAGGCTCAGCACCGTCCTGGAGCTGCTCTGTATCCCCGCACACCACAAACCGACGTCTCTTCTTCCACTTCCAGGACTGCCCCCAGCTCTTCCCCACCGAGGAGATCCTGATCCCGGTTGGAGAAGTGAAACCCATCACTTTGAAAGCCCGGAATCTTCCACAACCTCAATCTGGCCAACGTGGTTACGAATGTGTGCTGAGCATCCAGGGCGTCATCCACCGCGTGCCCGCGCTGCGCTTCAACAGCTCCAGCGTGCAGTGCCAGAACAGCTCGGTGAGCACAAAGCTGCCTCCTGGTTTAGCTGCACTGACCTCCTGTGTGTGTGGCACACTGCAGTGCCCAGAGTGGGCTGCTGCTGAGGAGGAGGTGGGTTTGGCTGGGGGGGGGGGGGAGGATTCAGTGCCTGAAGGCGGGTGTAAGAAACAGGACAGACTTGGTAGCAGGGTGATAGGACCAATGGGGAATGGATTCAAACTTAAAGAGGGGAGATTTAGATTGGGTATAAGTAAATAATGGCAGTGAGGTGTTGGCCAGAGGGGTGATGGAGTTCCATCCCTGCAGACCCTTGAGCACCTGAGTATCTGGTAGAGCTGTGGCTGCTCCTCTTCAGTGCACAGCAATGGGAGCAGATGGCCTTTAAAGGTCCCTCCCAACTCAAACCATTCTATATTTTATGATTCTGTGAATCACCTGGGGGTGCTGCTAAGAAGCAGGTGGGGAAGGCAGCTCTGCCCTGCATAGGATGGGGCTCAGCAGATGGCAGGGGCTCTTCAGAGGGGTTGCAGGGCGCCCACGATTGGGTTTGGCCATCAGCACAGGGAACTTTGGGCGTGCTTTAATATTCAGTGCAGACGGTCTTAAATTGTTAATCAAGTTTTGAATTTTTTAAAGTTGTGCTGGGTATTTATACATCACTGGCTGTCTGTGGGCCTTGCAGCTTGGTGGCTAATAAATGTATTAATACCATGTAGCACTTCTCCCATCCAGAGCGATTTATAAACATTAGGGGAGCGCTTTTTCCTCCTGTTAGGCTGATGGGAAGTGGTAGGTAGAGAGTTTAAGGGCAATTCTGCACGAACAGCTCCATCAGCTGAGCAGAGGATGTGGTTTTGTAACAACTCAGTGAAGCCCAGCAAGGTAAATCCCTGGAACCAAGTGTGAGTTAAAGAAGGACAGCACTGCATGGAGTAGTCTGCCTCAATGGCAGTAGTTTTTTAAGCCTTTTTCGTGGCTCTTAATGAACTGGAGGGGCCATATTGATGAGCTGGGGCTGAGCAACAGGAGCAGCTGCTGCAAGGGGAGTAATTAATCCATTACCTCTCCCAGGGACTAGGTCTGATTTAATTATCTGCACACAGTGAGGAGGAGGGAGGCAAAGCAAGACCCTGAAGCTGGAATGTGGAAATGGTGGTGGATCAGCCACCAGCATGTGATGCAGAGAATAATCACTGCTTCTTAAAAAGCCCTCCCTTCCTGGCAGTGTCACTGATGCACACTCCCAAGCGTTTCATTCTCCCTCTTCTTCTCCAGTATCTCTACGATGGGATGGACATCAGCAACTTACCAGTGGACTTTGCTGTGGTGTGGAATGGGAACTTTGTCATTGACAACCCGGAGGATGTGAAAGGTAATGTGGGCTGTGGAGGCTGCTGGGGGCTTGGGCAGTGAGGGTGGGAGCAGCTCCATACCATGGCAATGGGAAAACCACTGAAAGCCCTGAAATGAAAGCTGTAAAAGCAATCTATGGAAAGAATGACTTCTAGAAAACATCCAATGCTTCTAATTACAGCTGTTATGAAACTTTGTCCAGGACCTCATGCTCTGGGAGCACTCATGGAACCCAGACCAGGCTACCTGGGAATGTGGGTGGTTTCAGGGAGCTGCTCCTTAATTCAGTTCCTTGGGGCGACCTCAGTGTTTGCAGAGGCTTGGGAGCACCACTCAGCACTGCGCTCTCTGCTCTCTCCTCACAGTGCACCTTTACAAGTGCGCAGCACAGCGTGAGAGCTGCGGGCTCTGCCTGAAGGCTGACCCCAAATTTGAGTGTGGGTGGTGCAGCGGGGAGGGCAGGTGCACCCTACGGCCCCATTGCAGCCCCCAGCCCTGGCTCGACTGGTCCAGCAGGAACGTCAAATGCTCCAACCCACGCATCACTGAGGTAAGAGCACTCAGCTGTGCATCCCGCTGGCGTTGGGTGGGCTCAGGGCTGTCTCCATCTCCTATCTGAAGGGTGGAGGGCTCAGTGCCCCAGTGCTGAGCACTGTGGATGCATCGCAGCCAAGCAGGGTGTGGTGCAAAGCTCCATTGCGTGGCTGTCGCTCTCTGCCGTGCTGCTGGCATTGGGTTGACCACCACGAGCTGGCACAGGAATGCTGATTAAACCAGAGAGTTAATTAGGCTGCAGCTGACGTGTCTGATGTTCACTTTCAGACCGCTGAGGGATGCAAAGCGGCTCCCAGGAGCTTTTCCATAGCAAAGCTGCTCGTGGGCTGTTAGCGCTGCTGCTAGGAGTGACACTGCTGTCAGGAGGGAATGAAATATTTTGCCGTCTTGCTTAATTAACTCCCCCAAACCCTTGAGCAGCCAGGTCGAAGGAGAATGACAGAGGCCCAGGAGAAACACTGCGAGGTCGATATCCCTAATCCCAAACCCTCTGGGCACAGAGGTCAGCTCCTGTCTCTTTCCCCTTTGCCCAGAGAAGTGTTTATGGTGCTCTTGGAAATGGTGGGACTGTTGCAGCCTTGGGTTCTGTAGATGTCACCTGAGATTTTGGTGTTCCCCAGGTGCCACTTGAAGCATTCATTGCTATTGGGCTCTGGACCAAAAGCCCAGCACAGAAGCATATGGGATGTACTCAGTCCTTGTTTTGCACTGAGACCCTCTAACACTACAAAACTTCCACCCGGCCTGTGGTCCTGGCAATAAATAAATAAAAGTCAGTTTTCTTGCGAACAAGCGGCACTCTGATCTCCTATTCACTTATTTGAAGGCCTCATTAATATAACATCAGTGCAACAAACAGCTGAAGGGGGGGCAGTGTCAGCCTGAATAATGGAGTTGCTCTGCGGAGATAACAATTAGGTTCTGAATGTGCCATCAGCCTAGGCAGAGACGAGGAGGGATCATGCAGTGATGACAGTGCTCGTCTGCTGGCTCCTGCTGGGCTCATCAGCTGGGATGGGGCTGCTTGGAGCAGTGGGGAAAGGACAAAGAGTGAAGGTGACTGTGGCTGGGGAGGGGGCAGGGGGTTTTCTCCGTGCACCCAAACAGATGCTCACTGTAGTGCAGGAGTGGTGCAGGCTATGGAAGGACAGCACTGGTCTGAGTCTCGCTTTCTCATGCTCATTGTGGCTAAATCTGCTGTTATAGAATCATTAAGGTTGGAAAAAAAGCACTGGGATCATTTAGTCCAACCATCAACCCATCGCCACCATATGTCAGCTTGTGCAGGAGGTGGGGCTCTGCAAGGTGGGGAGAGCTGCTGCACTGCAGCATCCCAGTGGGCCACAGTGTGTGTGAGCTGCTGAGCTACCAAGTCATGAAGGCAGGTGGAAGCGAGCAGCTCAGTGTTGTTGGCTGGGTGCTCTTCCTCCCAGTGCTCCCCATCCTGCACAGCAGCCCCGGGTGCCCCACGATGGACCTTGAAGGCTTCTCCTCTTTCTGAGATTTTGACTGAATCTCTCCAGCTGCAATTAATTGAATGCATCTGTTCTAACCCTGGGGCTGCTTTATGGCACAGTTACTTCAAAACTGTTCAATTAGCGACCACTAAAATCTAGGTCGAGTGGAGCTCCATATTGGGGATTTTCCAGGTCAGGACGTTTTCAAAATACAGCATCAGCCCCTCATTGTTTGGTGAGGCCATTGGCTGCGCTCCGGTTGGGGAACGGCGAGCTGTGGCTGTTTGTTGGAGATGGGAAGGGACCGAGGAGCCAATGAGCAGTGCAGTGCTACAACAAAACACGTCTTAACGTAATCTGGAGCTGCAGAGGACAGTTGTAGCTGTCAAGTATGTGAACCGCCAGGCTCAGGTGATCCCTGGTGATGGGAGCATTAGCGGCGCAGCCTTCAGGACTCGGCGTAATGCGCTGCAGCTTGGTTTGTAGCATGCCTTGTGGGCACGCAGAGCTAAGTGCTACAAGGCTCCCCGTGTGGTGTGGGTTACAGCACACAGCAGTGCATGGGGGTGGGTTGGAAACCTCGGTTTGGGGAGAGAGGGAAGCAGAAATGGAAGCTCTGGGGAAGGTGCAGGAAAAGCAGCCGGGCAGAAGCACCAAGGAAAGGTCGTGGGGAACTGAAATCTTGTGCCAAAAGTGAGGATGGAACCAACGTGCAGAATTAAGATTTATCCATTAAGTTAATTGAAGTGCATTATTATAGATTATGTTGTTTATTAATACCAGCTGTAGCACTGGGAAGATTAGTAGCTCACCCGAGAGCGGTGGAAGATTCAAAACAGTTGTTGAAGAGTCTTGGGTCCCAAACTTGAGCCTATATGTTGTAATTTGTACTGCTCATGAAAGAGTGTTGTCCTTGATGAAAGGCTGTAGGAGCAGAGCTGGCTGAGGCTCAGGCAGGCTATAAGCAGGCAGCTTTAGAGCACACACCTCACCCTTCAGCATTTTGAGCCACTTGAGGTGTCAGCTTACTGATAAATGTGCTATCTGCATTCAGAGAGCAGCCAAGGCAGAAGGTAACAAAGTTCTCCACAGCAGCAGGCAACTGCTGGAAGGTTATTTGCTGCCTTATGTAGTATGTGAAAAGCAGCCAGGCTTCTGCTTCATACAGAGCCGGGACCTGATGGCCAGCCTGGAGAGCAAGAAGAAAATGCACAGGCAGTGGAAGCAAGGACAGGTGCCCTGGGAGGAGGAGAGGGATGTTGGTGGGCTGTGTAGGAGCAGGGTCAGGAAAGTCAAGACCCAAATGGAACTGGACTTGGCAAGGGGTGCAAAGAAGGACAAGAAAGGCTTCTACAGGTCCATAAAACAGAGGAGTTGGACTAGATGACCATGTTCACACAATTCTGTGATCCTTCTTCTCCCCGGGGGTGGCATTGTCCCTCTGTGTCTCCCTCAGGACAACACATGTGGGTTCCAGCTTTGTTGACTGCTCAGCAGTGAACGCGGCAGGCAGGGTGGGATCTGCCTCCAACCCGGGGGGCTCTGCAGAAAGCAGCCTGACCCCTGTTGTGCTTCCCTTTAGATCCTGACGGTGTCGGGACCCCCAGAAGGAGGCACCAGAGTGACCATCCGTGGCATCAACCTGGGCCTGGACTTCTCAGAGATTGCCCGTGGTGTGCAGGTGGCAGGAGTGCCGTGTGCTCCTCTGCCGGAGCAGTACATCATCGCCGAGCAGTGAGTAACCTCAACTTATGGGCACAACACCTCCACCACCTCCCAGCCCCACAGCAGTGCAGGAGCAGGGTTGGCTGAGGTGCTGGGTGCTTGCTGGGGGGGGGGTTAAGCAGCCCTGTAAGCCTTCTCAGAGTGTTTTGTTTCCTTCTGCGCTGCTTTGCTAAGCAACTTTCCTTCTGAGGCTCTGCCCCCTCCGCTCCCCTTGTGCTTGAGATGCAGCTGGCACTGCAGGCTGTGTGCTGCCATTTGTTAGGCGTGAGGTGCTGACAGCCACCTCATCCGAGCAGCCCTCTGTTGGAGCCCATTCATTTATTTCACTAAGAAAAATGTCAGCCAAAAATTAGAAAATAGGCTTGTAACAGAGGACGGGCGAATAAAGCTCCTACGGTGACACTGATCCTGCTGGGGAGGGCTGGTGCCACTGCTGGGAGCAGGATGGTGCAGGGTGTGCCAGGGCTGCTGGTGGGGACGCTCACAGCAGCATGGATGTGCCCTGGGAGCAGCTGTAAACCACCATCCTCTGGCATTGCCATCTATTTGGTGGGTCCCAGTCTGATCCACCCTTCACCAAGATGTGTTGGCAGTGCAGTTTTGCTCATTGCTCTTACCTGTACCATGGATCTCCCTTCCCTGATCCATCAGCATTGCCATCACTGCATGAAGGGCACTGCAGAGCTGCTCAGCACCATCAGTGCCTGCTCAGCTCCAGGCATGTGCAGAGCAGTCAGTGCCTGTGGCTGGCGCTGTTCCACCAAGCAGAATTTTGTTGTATCTTATTTTTCAGATAAAGGACAGAATATGATAAAACTTCCCTCCTTTGATGGTACGAAGCCCTGATTTTATAATCATGACTCTAATTATGGCTCTTGAGCTTTCAAAGTTTGTTAACATCATTAAAACATTTACCCTGGGCAGATAACAGCAAGCGTTAGCATGAGAGCTGCCTTTTAAAGATGAATACAGATAAAAGGACCCTCTTAAGGCTTCTGTGGGCAGACTGAATTCCAAGACTGTAATGACTCACCATATGCTCCAGCCACGCAATCTATCAGCCAGCAATTAGGTTAATGTTGGTGAAAGGGCCACTTAGCCCAGCAATCAGCACCCTACAGCGGTGCCGAATGCATCATTTTGTAACAAGGTACCTGCTGGGGATTTGGCTTTGATTGGGAATCAGGATCAGGTGCACTGGGGTCACTCCACCCCCTGCTGCTTCCTTCCTGCCTGGTGCTGCGTGAGGAATGCATGCAGTGCCTGTGGGTGCTGCTTTGCTGGGAAGCATCAAGAATTGTGTGTTTCCTCCCATGGGTGGCACTTGGTGGGTGCATCCTCTGCGTGGCTTCTTGTATGCCTGCTGCAGGATTGCTGGGATCATCCCAGCCTGCAAGCCCTGACCCTATAGCAGGCCAAGCAACAAAACAGCAGTGGAGAGTAGAGACATGCCATGGCCATGGCTGGATAAAGGCAGAGTGAGGAGCACGTGGCACACTGAGGCACTTGCCTTTGTGTTCTCTAAAGACAGCATCTCTCTAGGCAACCCATTTTCATGTGCAGCAATGAGGTGCACATCAGAGCTCGTTATTAGCATGTGTGTATTTTGTTGGGCCTCCTGGCAGCACCTGTGCCTGCAGTCTGCAGGTTCTTTCGTCTCTTTATTTTCTTTTACCTGTAGTGAATTTAGTGCTGCTGAAATTCTGCCTTCACAGATTGGAGCCTTTCATGCGTTCTCATGTGGTTGGGGGAAAAGCAAGCATTTCCCCTCCTGCTTTGCAAAAGCACCTTCAGCTGCAGTGAGGGAGGGGAATTTGGCTTTTTTCTCTGGCTCCTGAGGCTGAACATCATTGAGCATTTCCTTGCCTGTGCTGCTGCTCCTGCACGTTGTAGCTTTCTCGTACCCCCAGGCCTCTCTCCAGGATGCTCACGACCTTTTTCCATGGGAGCAAGCAGCAATCCCTCCAAGTGTAGCAGAGGAGCCCTGCCAGCTGCCAGCCCTTTGCAAACCTCTCCCTGCATCTCCAGCAGACTTGTTGCCATTGCCAGGGGCCGTGGGTTGCAGCTTTAAGCCATCACAGTGCACCCCAGCAGCTCCTGCTCAGGCTCTCAGTGACCCCTCAGGATGCCCCCAGGACGCAGAGGGACACAGGACTCATGGCAGTGCTTTACCCTGACCCTGTTATCCATGTGGGTGCATTGTGCAGCTCTCCCTGCCTGCACCGTGCTGTCTTTCTCATCCCCAAGCAGGTTTCTGTGTTTTTGATTAACTGGGAGACTGCAGTGTGAGCTGTTCCCTTAATGAACTCATCTGTTACTCTAAGGACTTAGCACTCACTTTGCTACTGGCTAATATATTGCCATTAGTGCTCTGCTTTGCTCTGGAGTTTACAGCTTGTAATAATTATGTCTAATTTTGATTTTTTTTTTTCCCCTTGAAATTACTATGTGGGGGTAAAAATAGACTCAGTAATTAACTCCTTCCAAAAGAAGCAGATATCAGATTAAAAGAGGGGAATGGAGAAAAATAACACAGCGAGCAGCCAGCCCTGTGCTAGCAGCCCCTGGCAAACCCTCACTGCAGCGTTTTTGCTTCCAGGATCGTCTGTGAGATGGGGCAGGCACTCCCTGGGATCAGCTCTGGCCCAGTGCTTCTGTGCATCGGAGAGTGCAAGCCTGAGTTCACAGCCAAGTCGGTGCAGCACTACACATTTGTGGTGAGTTCCTCACACTGGGGGGGCTGAGCACGTCTCTGTTGCACCTGAGGCAAACCCATGCTTTTCCAGTGCTTTCACCCTGGCATTACATGAGCAGCGCATTGGCAGCCCTTCACCGTGCTCTCAAGGTGTAAAGCTCACACAGGCCTACAGAAGAAGCAGTGTTTAGGTAGGAGGCTTTGCACGGCATTTGCTTCCAGCTTTGTGCCTCTGAGTAATGGCAAGCTTTGAATTGCTGCTCAGGGCTCCTCCTAGCAAAGTGGGTTGTGTGCTCAGAGCAGGGCTGCTTTGCAGAGCGTGGTGTTGAGCTGTGCTCGAGGACTCCTGTACATGTGGTCTTGTCACGGGGTTGCGGTCAGGACTCAAAATCTTCCTGTGTTTTGGGGAAGGAAGAGTAAAGAAGGAGCGTTGTTATAGGGAAGAAATCTCTGCTGTTGCTTCTTGCTGGTTTTGAAGCTGTTTGTTTGCATTTGTGGTACAGATACACACACCTATATGTATATATATGGTGCAGGAGCTGATGGGACTTTGGCACAAGCACAGAAACACACAGAGAAGGACAGCAAGTGCCTGAGCCCATCCTTCTGTGGTTCAGGCATTGAGGTCCTGCTAGGAACTCCTTTTAATCACCTGCCTGTGAAACTTGAACAGATCTGGAATAGTTTGTTCTGTTGGTTTATTCTTTTTCTTTTGGGATGGAGAATTACTCAGGATCCAGATATTTAATGATTTTATTTTTTCTCCCCTCAAGGATGCCAGCTCAACATAGGCTTCCTCTGTCTGCCTAATGAAGAGCTGTTCTTTGGTTGGGGTTCTGTGCTGGTCAGTGGGTTATTTAATTAGCATCCTTTTGATTCATAAACCTAAAGCTACAGCTGGGGTTCCTCCTATCTCCAGTTCTGTCTAAATAGGGCACTTCATCCCACCACATTGATTTTGTGCTGAGTGGAATCTGTGCATGCAGTGCAATGCCAGCACAAACTGATTGGCCACAATCTATAACCCAGTGGAGAGGGAAATCAGGGCAGCCCCACCATCCTATGGGTTTGCATTTCCCCAGGGGTGCAGAACACGGGGGTGCCAGCAGTTGCTAGAGCCCAACCACGATAGGAATGCATTGAACATTACCATCCCTTGCTGATTTTCAGCACCCTGATGATGATTTTTTTTTCCTCAGGCATCTGAAACTTTGCGGACATCATTTCCTTCTGTTACTTGGCCTCTATTTTTTCTTGCTGGCACCTCCACAAATTCCATTACAGCTGGTTTATGCCATTAAAGTCAGTAGTAAAATTGATTGGTACCTTAAAGCAGAGCTGTGTTCTGACCCTGAGAGGGTTCATGCCTTGGTGAGCTCATCTGGTGCTGCAACCAGGCAGGAGCTCAGCTGTCACCGTAATTACACCCATTGTACCCAGGGAAGTGGGACCTTGGAGCTACTTCAGCTCCATAAATCTGTCATAATTATCACCAAACCGTGAGCTGAAGATGGAAGATTCTGACTTAGCTTTCAGTCCTTCCTGCAGTACTGGCCTTGTCCCAGCCTTGGAGTTGCTGCAGGTACTCAGTGTGCGTACTCAGCTCTTCTGCCTTTCCCTTGTTTAGAAGAACCACCACTTGGGATGGTTGTCCACAGCAGGGTGGGCTCTGTGCAGTTCAGGTGAGCACAGCAATGAGAAGTTGGGGTCACGAATGCAGGGCAGGCTGGCAAGGTGGCACTGCTGCAGTAGTACCATGGGTAAGTGTTGAGTGGGATGCGGACACAGGCTGAGATGCTCTCCCTTCATCACCAGCTGTGAGCTCTGTCCCCACATCACCACCACTGCAGGTTCTGTGGAGCTGGAGCTGCTGGCACTGCTTTGTGCTGCTGTCATGTGCTGTTTCCCATGACCTGCTTCTTTAATATGACAAACCTTAACCATTTGTGTTCTGATGTCCATTGTGCTGCATTTGTGCTGTATTTCGTTTCTGAAACCGCGGAGCAAACAGCTTTATTTCTCTAAGAACAGAGGTGAAGGTAAGTACATAATTTTGCCCAGGCTAAACTTGCAATTACATTGTAGGGATGTGTTTCACTCACAGCAGGATCCAACATTTCAGCAGCAGCTGTATCAGGTGGCCATGACGCAGCTCCATTTTGCTTTTCCATTTTAAAAGCAGAGGGTGGGATGCTGCCAGCACGGGGATGATGAGCTGTCCTTCTTTCTGCAGACACCAACTGTGAGCTTCCTGAGCCCCAGCCGTGGCCCTGAGTCAGGTGGGACGCTGGTGACCATCACAGGGCAGCACCTGGGTGCTGGCAGCCACGTCTCCGTGCTCCTGGGCAACCAGAGCTGCGCCTTTCAGGGGTAAGGGCTGGGCTGGGGGCTGGGGGTTTTGGGGCTGAGCACACAGCCACCTCAGAAATCATAGTCATGAAGGCTGGAAAAGATTTCTAAGATCATCAAGTCCAACTACCACTACCATTAATTCAGGCTGTCCCCATCATGCCCTCTAACCACGTCACCAAGTGCTACATCTCCATGTTTCATGAACACCTCCAGGGACCACGACCCCACCACGCACCTGGGCAGCCTGTGCCAGTGCATCAGTGCTCCTTCAGAGAAGAGATTTCTCTTAATATGCAGCCTGAAGGGGATATCTCTCCTCTAAAAACCATTGGAGTGAGGCAGGGCTCTGAAATTACGGAGCAGAGGAAGGATCCTCACACGCCTCCTGCTGTGGAACGTACACAGCCATGAGCCTCCTCTGGGATTCCCATGGCAAATTTGCTTTTTACCCAGCAGTGTAAATGCAGAGTTGACATTTGCAGGGTTTAATGGGTTTTCTTGGGCTTAGTTAAAAAAAGATACCAGCAGTATACGTCTGTGTGCATCACACACACATCCTAACATGGGGTGTCCCCAGGTGCCCCAATGCCACCAGCGTAGTGTCACACTGCAGGCAGTCATGCAGGACAGAGGAGACTGCTCTCCATGAAGACATTCCTCACACTGAGCAGATGAGATCTGCATGGGGCTGCAGAACAGAGAATGCCAAAAGGACCCTTTGCTTTTTCTCTGCGCCTTGCAACCCAGGAGCTTACATGAAATGCTGTGATGCGTGGAAGGATTCTGCCTTCTAAATCCCAGCTCCAGCTCGCCAGCAGGAGCCAAGGAGGTATTTGGGAATGGAATGACCCCTGGAGGTGAAATTCTCATCTGAAAGACTTCAAAATTCATGAATATGGGACCTGTGAAGGTGCAGCCATGGGATTTTATTGGCTCAGTCCTGCCAAGTAGCGAGGAGCAGGATGGGACCTAGGACCTGGACTTCCCCACTTATGCTGTGGCACCAGATGAAGGAGATGGAGGGTTGGACCTGCCGAGCTCTGCAGCTGCAGACAGGCTCTCCAAGTGCTACATTTGGCAACCACTCCACTGGCATTTCTTCCTGTGTCCGGAGCAAAGCTGCCAGATTGCATCCTCAGTGCACACAGGTGACCAATTTACTGCCAGGAGAAGCAGCCACAAGCAGAATTGGCTTTGTAATAAAATTCCATAAATATATGATTGCATTCAGGGAACCTGCAGATACCGACCTGCAAAACCTGGAGCAAGTCTGAATTCTTGGTGTGTTCTAATTACACCAGGCAAGCAGAAACTTAAACAAAGCAAGCAGCAGTGTATAAATGACACCATCTTTCTCGTGGGGTCACACTGTGCACTTTGTTTTGCTTGGACTGTTTTGTGGCAGTGAACTTCAATTGTACTGGAGGGTGTGGGGGAGCCTGATTAGATGAAGCAGTTTCTAATGAGATTCACTCTAATTACAGCTTCCCCCATTCTCCCAGCTCGGATCGGAGGAGTGGGTAGATTCACCATGACGACACAATAATAGCACAGAGCTAATTAACGAGCGGCGGGGCAGGCAGAGCTGGGGCAGAGACGTGGTGTGATGGTGCAAAGTGGGACAAAGGGATGCAGGGAGCAGGGATGGCACAGGAAAGCATCCATAGGAACAGCCAAGCGTGGTCGGTTTTGGATATTTTAGGAGTTTTCTGTTGTCTTGGTGATGCTGGGTGGGTGTGCAGATGGTGCAGCACTGTGGTACCCGAGGGTGGATGTGAAGGAAGGTGAGGATTTGGGAGGGCCCTGGAGAGGGAGCACAGCGTACCTACGGAGACACAGGGCTGTGCAGGATGCACATCAGTGCACACGCTGAGCTGTGTCACAGCTGCTCAGGCACCTCGGTGGTGTGTGCAGCATGGCGAAGTCGGTGACGATGGAACGGTGGTGTGCCAGGGTTTGATTTCCAGCTAAAGAGTGCCAGGCTTTGATGGAAGTGCCATAACAGCAGTGTAACACCGAGGAGCTGCCTGCCGTCTCCCCTGTGCTGGCAGAAGAGAAGCCAAAGCTAAATGAGCCGTGGCAGCAGCATGGCCCTTCCTGTCCTCAGGGACTTGAGTTTGGGCACTGGACTCTCGGGGACATGGCTCTGCTGCTTTGCACAGTCGCCCTGTGGTGCTGTGGAGCTCAGCAGCTCTGTCCCCAATGAAAATCCCCAGCCCTGCAGTGGTGTGGGGGAGCTCTGCTGACTGCACTGCCCGACTGCTTTGTACTCCAGCAGCCAGCCTGTGCTGTGGGGGAAGCAGATGCCCCGCCGTGCCCAGCAGCACCGAGCAGGGGTCATGCTGTGCTGGTGGGCAGACAGGGAACAAAGCAGTGCTGGCAGCATGGTGCTCCCCAAACTGGGGCTTCATGAGCCTGTTCTGCAGCTCATGAGGCTCTGTGCGTGCAGTGGGGTGGGGAGGGAAAGAATTTGGCTTTGGAGCAAGCTGCTGCATCCCATTTAAAAAGCGGCCATCTGTTTTCACACGCCCAACAGAAGGCGGCGGGTGCAGGGAGGGATGCGGGAGGCTGCAGTTTGGCACAAAGCACGTGTGCCTTTCTCCTGGTGGGCAGATAAGGTCTCTTCTTGCACGGGGCTCTGCCCCCTCCTGTGCCTGCTGGGCTCGCTGGGCCACTTTGTGCATCTCGGTGCACAGGGCTCAGTGATGGTTCTGCCTTCGTGTGAGCTGTGGGGTGGCCCCATGGGGACAGGGATGCTCTCTGCCCACTGACACTCCCTCTGCTCCTTTCCACGCAGGCGATCCATGAGTGAGATTGTGTGCCTGTCAGCACCCTCAGCACACGGCCTGGGGTCCGTCCACGTCTCTGTGAGCGTTGACCGTGCTCAGCTCGAGCAGACGCTGCTGTTTGAATACATTGATGACCCCAAAGTGCAGAACATTGAGCCTGAGTGGAGCATCGCCAGGTAATGCAGCTCAGGGGAACTCACCTGCCCTGTGCCATTGGGAATGCATGTACCACTCATGTCCTGCATCTCTCAGTGCCAAACGTCTGCAACATTTGCACTGACCAAAAGTCAGATCTGAAGTTATTGAAGTAGTTGTCATTTACCTTGACAATTACAGCCATAGCAGCCTACACCTGGATTGTGGGAGCATGAATAAAGCCCCAAGATTGCTTCCATCTGCTGAAGGAGTGCACAGTTGCTCATTAAAGCTTCCTTTTCGTGGCTGTGGAATAAAATAAAACCAGCAGTCACGAAGAGATGGGAAAGCTGATGTTAATCAGAACATAGTAGTTGTCCAACATCAACTGGTGGGAGCTGCATGGGACTGGGATGCTGTGATGTTAAAATCCTGGGCTGTCCTCATCCCCTGGTATTGCTACAATGGCTGTGCTCAGGTTCATTTCAAATTCCAATCATTTCTCAAAGTTGGCCATGGAGGAAATCAGTACCTCTCAGCAGCTCTGTTGCTCTGAGCCCACATTCAAGCTCACTTCTCGTTTTGGGTTGGATGGGTATCAGAATGGCAAACTGACAGCATCAACCAAACAGCAAAGCTCTGCTGTGGAGGTGCTGGAGGTTTTGGTGAATTTGGGCTGTGCAGCTGCAATTGACACATGAAAGGAGCAGCCAGGAGTGGAAGGCACTTTGTGTGCGTGCTGCTCAGCAGTTCCCTCCCCACGCGCCATTCATCGCCCGCTGCCGCGCGCCTTGGAAGCGCCGCTGTGTAAATCATTAAACGCCGTGACTAATTTATTGTTCTTCACGTTTAGTCTCGGCTCAGTTGGTTTCTTTAGTCCCGTTTCTCATCCTGCTGCCTTGAAGGGCTCCTCCATGGGAGAGGGCACAGCTGTGAGGAGAAAAGCTGGCTCACGTGGGCACCGCTGCCCTGCGACTCGAGATGGGCTGGGAGTCCCTGGGGTGCCAACTTTGAGAGAGCAGCGAGCATCCCTGTGGCCAAACGCTGGCTTCCCCTTCACCAGGCAACTAACGAGGGCTCTCTGGTTTCCCTGCAGTGGGCACACGCCTCTGACCATCACTGGCTCCAACCTGGACATCATCCAAGAGCCGCGCATCCGCGTCAAGCACAACGGCAGGGAGTCCATCAATGTGAGTAGCTGTGGGCAACGTCCCATCTGACACTGTCACTGGAACCTGTGCTTTCTGCTTGGCAAAGGCTACTTGGGGGTCTGCCCTATGCTTAGCCCCACTCTTAGCAGCAAGACATGGAGGCAGGAGTCACGACACACAGAAATTTACTTGCACCTAGCTCAGCTCTGCTTGGTGATGCAGGGATCTGACCCCATCATCCCAACTGCTTCCCCTCCTTGCACGTGGTGCTCCCAGTGTTTGGGGGAAGCTGGGTGTTATTTTTCACGCCTCCATCTCAGCTAGCACCAGCCAAGGCCTCTATTTAAACCATTTGTTCCACTGTTCATAAACTGCTGTGGAAAGCAATGTTCTTGTACGTTACAAATACAAATTGCACCTCCAGTACACTTGGAAATTATTTTGATCAAGAAAAACTGAAAAATACTGTTTCTATGCAGTGATCTTTCTGAACCTGCATTATCTTGGAAAGGGCAAGGCTGTTAGCAGCAGTCTCCCATCCCCTCTCTCCCTTCCCCCCAAAGACCTTTTCATTCTGAGCTCTTTTTAAAAACATCTCATTTTGCTGTTAGCGCTTACAGTGTTACGAAAATAATTCTGAAGGCACAAAATTGAGTGAAATCTTTCACTTACGGCTGGCCCCTTGCTGCTCTGTAAGCCAGCAGCTCCTGCTGTGGGGCTGGGGGGAGCTGGGGGTGTCTGCAGCCCCCAGGAGGTGACCTCCATGCTGCCCCAGCCCCATGCTGTCAGGGGATGGCCTGTCTCAATCTCTAACATCAGAGAGATGCCTCTAATCACCAATTTGCAGCAGAGGCCAGGTGTTCATTATAGGTCTGTTTCAAAGCTAGTGCTGCCAGCAAGGGTGCAGCTGGGAAGGAAAGAAAAAAGACCAAGTGGTTCGGTGTACAATCCTCCACCTTTCTTCAAACATTCTCATTGTGAAGCTCTCTCTGTCTCTGCTCCAGCACCTTTGTGCTGGCTGCACGGGAAGCAAATCTTCCCAAACGATGGGTGTAAGGTGTTGAGCCTCGATTAAATACCTCCAGCAGAGCTGGAATCTGCCAGAGCTTTCAGGGAGTACGTAGGGCCCCGGAGCATCGCTGTGCAGGTCGGAACCCCCCAGCACGGGGCAGTTCCCCAGCACCACTCAGAGTCCCATCCACAGGTATGTGTGGTGCTGAATGCCACAGCACTGAGCTGCCTTGCACCTGCCCTGGCCCCCGAGCCCCGGCCCACCATGGATGCCGTCGAGCGACCCGATGAGTTTGGTTTCATCTTCAACAACGTGCAGTCCCTGCGGGTCTACAATGACACCAAGTTCATCTACTACCCCAACCCCACCTTTGAGCCCCTGAGCTCCAGTGGGATGCTGGAGCAGAAGCCGGGGTCACCCATCATCCTGAAGGTAAGGGGACCTCTGCTTATCCCATGGGATGGGATTGGTGCTGGGATGGGGTTGGAAGCTCCTCAAACCCAGCAGAGCCAAATGCACTTTGGTGTTTCATATCTGTGTGTACCCTATGGCTCTCACCAGCAGAGCTCAGTGAGAGAAAACCCACATGCATGCCATGTGGTGGCATCACCGAATAGTTGAGGTTGGAAGGGACCACTTGGGATCATTTAGTCCAACCCCTCTGCTTCAAGCAGGTTCCCTTGAGCACATTGCCCAGGATCGCATCTGGGTGGGTTTTGAGTATCTCCAGAGACTCTGCCACCTCTCTGGGCAGCCTGCTCCAGTGCTCTGTCGATCTCACTAAAGCCATTAAAGGTTTTTCATGCAGTGGCCATGCAGAAATCTCTAGAAGCATGCAAAGCTTCCACTCAGGAGGGCCCAGAAAGCAATGAGTGGGGGAGTTCTGTCCCTGTTTGGAGACCAGGATACACTAAGAGGAGCCCCCATCGTTTGTGCCAGCAGGGAGTGGGAATGAAAAGCAGGGAAACGCACCGCATCCTTGTACAGTCTTCTCCACCTCTATTGCCAGGGCAAAAACCTGTGCCCGCCTGCTTCTGGAGGAGCCAAACTCAACTACACAGTGCTGGTTGGAGAGACGCCCTGCACCGTCACCGTGTCTGAAACACAGCTGCTGTGTGAGCCACCGACCCTCAGCGGGCAGCACAAAGTGACGGTAGGCACCGACCGCTGCCATCAGAGCCCCTTCCTCCTCCTCCTTCCTGACCTGCTCAGAGCTGAGTGCAATTTCTCGTCCAAAGACTGCAGGATTTTAGATCTTTATGGCTGTCTAATTGAAAGCTTAAAATATTGATGAGGATTAGCGTGGTGAAACTTCTTATTGCCTCCTTGAGACTCGCTGCCCACTGTCAAAGCCTTCCAAAAAGAATAAATATTGAGGGCATTCAGCCCCAGACTCCAGCCTTTCCCTGGTAAGATGAGCTGTAGTGTGCTGTGTTCCCCTCCTGTAGAGCTGGAAGGGATTTTAGCAGTCCTTGTAGCCAGATCTGCTTTGCCAAGTGGGTGGCAGGAGGATTTGGCTTTTCCTGAGGCAGAAGGAGCCAGGAGGTCCGGACTGCTCATCAGGATGCTTCGCTTTGGTTTTGGGCACTGCTGCTTTCCCCAGACTGAGCACTCAGTTGTAAAGGCGCTCGAGCAAAGCCCGATGAGGTTGCAATTGTGATTTATTTCTCTTTAAGTTCAGCATCCAAAAACTATTCAGTTATCACTGTGGCTCGCAGAAGCACAGCTCACATCTGTGGCCTGGGCACATCCAAGAGAACCTGGCCCTTGTGTACGGCCCCCCCCCCAGCTCCTCTTCCCCCCTCTCTCTCCCTTTGCTCTGGTTACTTGTCAGGGAAATTGTCAGTGGGTCACAAACGTTCACAGGTTACAAAAGGGAGTTGAAAGCTATAAACTGAAAGTCAAATGGAGCCATCAGATAATACGAACAAAGCCCAGATAGTGAAGGGCTGGCACATTTATCATGGCTTGAAGCCTCGCTGTGCTGCGCTCTTTGTTTCTGGAGGCAATTGGTGCTGCTGCAGCCGCAGCCGTGCTGTGTATCCACCATAGAAATGTACAAGACATCTGTGCTGCCTGCCCTGGATTTGGGCAGGCCCAAAGAAGCTGCTGCTTACCTCCCTGGTGCTTTGCAGGTGCGTGTCGGCGGCATCATCTTCTCCCCCGGTTCGGTGAGCATCACCTCTGACAGCCTGCTGACCCTGCCAGCCATCGTCAGCATCGCGGCCGGCGGCAGCCTGCTCCTCATCATCGTCATCATCGTGCTCATCGCCTACAAGCGCAAGTCCCGGGAGAACGACCTGACCCTCAAGAGGCTGCAGATGCAGATGGACAACCTGGAGTCCCGAGTGGCACTGGAGTGCAAAGAGGGTCAGTATCCCATCACCCCAAACCTGGACGCTGGTCCTCCCTCCTCCCATCAAGCCATTCCCCCTTCTATCTGGGGACTGATTCCTCTTTGGGCACTGGGACCCCTGCTTTAGTCCCCCCTGCAGCCATTCCAGCGGTCCTTACCAAAGCCATCCCCATTGCCTAACATTGGCAATAGGGCACGTGCTCCCACAGGGAAACAGTAATGAGAGCAAGTGGCAGACAAGGCCTCTGCCTGCCTAATGTGCAGAGAATAGGATTAGAGCTTGATCCTGCTTAAGCAGCGTGCCTCGATCGTGTGGTGAGGGCTGCAGCAGCCCCAGGGTGCCCTGCACAACGTGTTCCCTTCTCTAATGGCTTTTTAGGGCTCCAGAAAAGGCACAGAATGAGATGGAGAGTGGGGAAGGGTCACAGAATCACAGAATTGTAGGGGTTGGAAGGGACCTCCAGAGATCGAGTCCAACCCCCCTGCCAAAGCAGGCTCCCTACACCAGGTCACACATGTAGACATCCAGGCAGGTCTTGAACATCTCCAGAGAAGGAGACTCCACCACCTCCCTGGGCAGCCTGTTCCAGTGCTCCGTCACCCTCACTGTAAAGGTCAGGCTGCAGAGAAACTGTGTGTTCTGGAAAGGAGCTTAAGTTAAACCAAAGTAAAGAAAAGTAGCTGCAAATGTTATAGTTTGAGCTCTGTCCCAATCAACAGCTGATTAGGATTCGTTCAGCTGATTTTAAAAGGGTAACCTTGAAAGGCAAAGGATGAGATGTGTTCTGGAGATGCCATTCACTTTGGTATGGGTGCACCCTGGCTTGGGGGCAGAGACCTTCCTGAGCCAAAGGTTTTTGCTTTGTAGAATGAGCACAGGGCCACAAATACCACCCTGACATCCACACTGAAGTTCTGTTCTGAGAGGAAGAAGAATTCCTCCCTAGGCCTGCACAGGCGCTTTCTGCTTGGATTTGATCTGCATCGGATTTGATTATTTTGGCAACTGTTGGTAGGAGAAGAAAGGAGAGTAAGGGAGGCACCAGGTTATGAAAAGAGATCCTCATCTCTATCTGCAGCCTTTTAAAGAGTGTTTTAGGTGCACAGACACAGTTGTGAACTGCGTACAAATTCATAAGCATCTTTTGTTCCTGGCATCTGTTCTCTGCAGTGTGCTCGCTCCCAGCAAGGGTGAGGATCTGCATGAGCTCCGTGCAGGCTCTGCTCTGCACCCGCTGCTGCCTGCTCTCTGAGCCCGTGTTGCATTGCATTTCTCCTTTTTCTTTTCTTCCCAAACAGCTTTTGCAGAGCTGCAGACAGACATCAATGAGTTAACCAGTGACCTGGACCGTTCTGGCATCCCATACCTCGACTACCGGACGTATGCCATGAGGGTCCTCTTCCCTGGCATTGAGGATCACCCCGTTCTGCGGGAGCTGGAGGTAACGGGTGGGCAGTGATCTCCTCCCCCAGCCCTGTTAGGAACCGTGGGGCCAGCAGGATGAACCCCGAGCTCATTGTAGCCAAGAGCTTGGCGTTATATCTTCATCAGGCACTGCTTGGTTCCTCTCGTCCAGTTTGGATACTGGTTTGGGTATTGCTCTAGGCCAGCAGCAAATGATGCTGGATGAATTCCTGGTGTCCTTTTAGATGCTCCTCAGCCCAAGAATCCTCCTGCTGCTGTTCCATGGCGTGCCCACAGGAGGGCAAGCGCAGTGCCTGGGCATGGGCTGCCTCTGGCTGTGCTGTCAGTGAGTGCCCTCGTTCCTCTCAGGGCTTTACTGAGGTCCCACTGCTCTGTGCACTCATGCAAGGGCTCTTCAGTACTCATCCACTAAATCTGGCTCCTTCCCAAGGGGCCACCATTTGCTGCCTTTGGACTCATATCTCCATGCCCTGAGTTTCCCAGTCCCACCCATTATTGCTGCTGCCATCGCCATATAAGCTCTAGCAAATGAATATGAATGCTTCATATTTGTTTTTTTCCGCATGAAAAATAGAACTGCAGAAGTGATAAATGTGTTGCCAATTACACAGTTGCTTGATTATGTAACATCAGTAAAACCAATACATAATTCTCCAAGATGTTTGGTAAAGAGAGGCTTAACGCCGCTCATCCATTTGTAATGAATTACATTGAGTCTGGAACTGGTTGAAAGGCTCAATTTTTTACACTTGCCCCATAGTAAAGCAATAATCAAAACTGGTGTTTAATTTACTTTTAAGTGTGCCACTTTTTTGTGGAGAACAAGCAAAATTACTCATTGTAGGGCTGTTGGCAGTAGAGTGTAACCCAGGGCAGTGGGGAAGCGCCCCAGTGGGTGTCCCATGGGGTGGGACAGCAGCATCACCCCTTTGTTATCACCCCACTCTTCATCACTTCTGCGCAGTGCCGTGGGTCCCATCAGCTTGGTCTGAAACCAAAGGGTCCTGTGCACGCGGTGCCTTCCAGTCCTCTCCCCTCCTGATGGCTGCTCTCTGCCACAGGTCCAAGGGAACGGGCAGCAGAGCGTGGAGAAAGCCCTGAAGCTCTTCGCTCAGCTGATCAACAACAAAGTCTTCCTGCTGACCTTCATCCGCACGCTGGAGCTGCAGCGCAGCTTCTCCATGCGCGACCGCGGCAACGTGGCCTCGCTCATCATGACGGGGCTGCAGGGCCGGCTGGAATACGCCACCGATGTGCTGAAGCAGCTGCTGTCCGACCTCATCGAGAAGAACCTGGAGAACAAGAACCACCCCAAGCTGCTGCTGCGCAGGTAGCGGGAGGGCTGGCGCTGCCGTGTGCTGCGTGCTCTCTTGGTGATGGTTAAAAGCCAGGTGGGAAGACGAAGCCGTTGGGTTGGCAATGCCTGAGGAGCCAGCAGGGAAGGGCAGGATGCTCATCCAGACCCCGCTCGTGTCATCAGCTGCTGCTGTCCCATGTCTCATTGAGTGCTGCCCGTGGTGCCCCGCTGGCACCTTGCAGCCAAGGGAAATGGGATGATTTTCACAGCCCCAGGAAAAAAGCAGGGATTCCTCCAACCATCGTGAATATACTTGAGAGGAAATTGCTTTAAGTCTGGCTGTGTTTGCAGAGGCAATAACTCATCTCGGGAAAGGAAGCCATCTTAATTTCCCCCGTGGTTTGGTGCGTCGCTGGGAAGGCACCTTCTCTTCAGCCATCCCTGGTGGCTCTTTGCAGTGCTCCAGAAATACAGGGATGGCACTGGGGGTCGTTCCCTCCCCTCCCACCCATCCCCAGATGGGAGAGAGCACTGCGCTGGCAGCAGGATGGCTCTGCTCACAGCCACTTCTTGTGGGTTAGCTCTGAGAACTCTACTCCTAAACCCGCGCCTGGCACAGGGAAACCAAATGAATGCAGAAAGCAAAAATTTGCTTTTAATTTGTGTCTTCTCACCCTGCTCCTTAATCGTCAGCAAACAGCCACAAAGCAAGGCACTGCGTGCTTTTATTTATTGCTCTCTCTCGTGGCAGTCATTGCCAATCAGTGCTCAGTTCTCCCTCTCTTTCTTCTTCGTTTTTCCCCTCTCGCTTTCCTCCACTGTGACCCCTCATGGGAGACAGCAAAAAAGTTGACATTAAATCAAATGGCAGCTCTGGTTCCTGGCACAGACAGCAGGCAGCAGCTGAGAGACCCAGATACAGCAGGGAAAATGAGTAGAATACATATTGATTTTGGGGTTCTCTGGGCTCTTTTTGTTTAGCTTTGCTTGCTTCCCAGTGCCAGAGCAGGGCACCAGAGCCATCCCACAAGCACCCAGCTGGATCTGTAGCTTGCTAGTAGTGCTAATCCGCACCCTGGCTAATTATTAGTCTAGTATTCTATTAACAAAGTGGTTTATTAAATCAGTATTCGTCCCGAACGCATGATTTTCACTCTGTGTTTTAATCTTTTTCTTGGCTACGTCACTGCCTCTGCATTTTGTGTGGCTCGTGGCTGGCTGGCACAGCAGCGTGCTGCTGGTGCTCCTCCTTCATTGGGCAGTGGCAGTGATTTAAACAGGCGAGCAGTGCGCGTGTCAATTTGCAGGATGAGTTTTTAGGCAGTTAATCAATTCAGGCTGGAATTCTTTGGGGATCTGCAGACATTTTCGCAAATTCCTGGCAGATGTTGTGATCCTAAGAGATGATAGATAACGTAACCCTGGGTCTTTTTTTTTTTTGCAGACTGGTGTCAGTTTTTGTTTGTTGAAATCTGTGCCTCCTTTTTTGCACTTGATCTGCCTGACTTTGTGATCAAACCCTGTTGGCTTTTTTGTTTTTTTTCATTAAATGCCAGCATCCCCAAACATGCTGGGTGCTGTATAAATACATACCAAGATGCAGTCCCTCCTTCAAGTCAGCAGAGCAGTCAGGGAAGAGCAGGGAAGGATCAGGAGCAGGATGGGACCCACAGAGCTCTGCTGTACCTGCTGCAGTGCTGCACCAGCGCTGCTGGGCACAGGATGTTGGAGGCACGGTGTCCCTATCCCAGGAAAAGAAACAGGATCCTGCAGAGCCAGCATTAAAAACTATCATTAGGAGCTATTGTATTGAAATTAAAGATAATCTTGGGCACAATGTGGGGAGAGGACGCTGGGTGGGACCGGGGATAAAGCTGCAATTTTTCTGCCATTGTCACTCTGCTGTCCCTGATTGCCAGCCCAGTGCAAATCCCAGTGATTTACTGCGCCAGGCTGTAATTTGCACCACGTGCACAGAGCTCAGTGTCCCCAGGCTCCCTGTTCCCTGTCAGGGCTCTGATGGGCTGTCAGCTGGGGATGAGCTGCCTGCATCGTGCTGCCTGCGTGCACTGGGAGCTGTGCTGAGCGGTGGTATTGCTGCTGTGGGGAGCAGGATGCTCCTCTCCTCCTGTCTCTGGCCATTCCTGTTTCCTGAGGTTGGTTTGTGCGAGGATTTGGTTTTGTTGGTAATGTGCCTCTCCTCCTCCTGGCTTTCCTAGGACTGAGTCGGTGGCTGAGAAGATGCTGACGAATTGGTTTGCTTTCCTCCTCCACAAATTTCTCAAGGTAAGGAGGGATGGAGCGGAGCTCAGCTGCTTTGATCTCCCACCTGCATGGGGCAAATCTGAGCTTGAAAACAGTCTCATGCAATCAAGTTTCTGTTGCTTTCCTTGAGTACTGCTGAAAGGCTCTCTTATGAAAAGGTTTTCTGCTCTTCTGTTTCACGTTCCCTGGCTTTGGCTGCACCAAGTATCACCCAGCTGTGTCCTCTGGAGTACTCCAGGCTGTGCCCTCTGGAGGGCTCGCACCTCTTTGAGCACCTCCATGCCTGCGCTTCCATAGTTTGGCAAATTAATTTTGGTTTTGGAAGCCCCCTCAGAGTTTACTTCATCAGAGCGAACAATGAGATCAAGATCTCAGATTCTCATTTTACAGCCCTATAGATTCAGTAGAGCTTTACCGAGCCAAGCACAACAGCCATCAAGCAGCAGTTTTGGCTGTGCTCTGCCGGAGCTGCTGGGGGCTGAGCCCGATTGCACATGTGCTAATGATTAAGGCAACGGGGCTGTGCCTCTGCTGCAATTAATCATGTGCAAGATGTCTTTGTGGGCCAGCAGCCCTGGTGTAGCTGCACTTCACCCCTGGGTCGGTTTCGCCACTGGTCTCGTTGTGCAGGAATGTGCCGGAGAGCCACTCTTCATGCTGTACTGTGCCATCAAGCAGCAGATGGAGAAGGGCCCAATTGATGCCATCACGGGGGAAGCCCGCTATTCGCTCAGCGAGGACAAGCTGATCCGGCAGCAGATTGAGTACAAGACCCTGGTGAGTGAATGCTGGGGGAAAGAGCTGGATTGCTGCTGTCCTCCCCATTGGGCATGAGCCATGCTGACCTTCAGGCCCACTATGGGAGCACTGCCATGAGCACTGCTGTTGCCAGTGCAGTAGAGTCCAATGAGGAGTGTCCCTAGCTGGTAGCTTGGGGTTGTGCCCAACTCGTAGGTACCAGTATCCTATTTGGTCCACTGTCCTTCCTCTAACAAGGGAAAATCAACATACGAGGACTCCTATCTTAATTATTTATATAGATATGTGCAGCTGCAATGAGGTAAATAGAGATGCAGGGTTTTACCATGAGGGTTGCTTCTTGTGCAGACGCTTATTCTAATAAGGTCGTTAAGGTTGGAAAATGCCACTAAGGCCATCCAACCATCAATCCATTAGCACTGAACTATGTTCCTGTTGTTCTGCTTCTGTGTGGAGCCCTTAAGGGAATGGTGTGCTTCTCCTTTCTTCCCAGATCTTGAACTGTGTGAATCCAGACAACGAGAACAGTCCAGAGATCCCTGTGAAGGTGCTGAACTGTGATACCATCACCCAGGTCAAAGAGAAAATCCTTGATGCGGTGTACAAGAACGTCCCCTATTCCCAGCGACCGAGAGCTGTTGACATGGATTTGGGTAGGGGCTTGATGCCTTCTCTGGGTGTCCCTTTTTACCTGTTGAGCATTTCTGTGGGCTCTTCGGGTTAGCCAAGTGGATGAGCCCATGGCTGTCCCCACTCTGAGCAATGCATCCATCACTTTTGCCTTGCAGAGTGGCGGCAGGGCCGCATCGCACGCGTGGTGCTGCAGGATGAAGACATCACCACCAAGATTGAAGGCGACTGGAAGCGACTGAACACCTTGCTGCACTACCAGGTGAGAGCAGGCCTGGGTAGGCAGCTCCCAGAAGGCTGCCGTGATGAAGGAACAGAAAGGCAGAAATTTAATTTCCAGGCAGACGGAGAGGTCACATTTGCATGAAAAACCTGAGTGGTTCAATGTGCTTCTGCATTAGACAGGAAAGCAAGCTTGACATGGATCTTAAAGAACCTAGCAGGGTTGAAAATTGGCTAAATTAAAGCTGCTAGCTGTGCTCGTGAGACAGAGCAAGGGGAGGGCTGAGCCTGTAGGGCTGCAAGTGGGCACAGAACGGAGGGCAGCAGGGAAAAGAGAGGGGATTCTGCCTTCCAAATCCCAGAGCCTTCCAAGTCAGCTCACAGGAGTCCTGCTACCAGCACCGTATAAACCAATCCTTGAACCTGAAGGTTTGTGCATCCAGCTTATCATGGGAGATGAATTCCGTTGTTTTTCACATCGGCTCCACCTGTCATTTGCAAGGGATTATCCAGCATGCAGGGAAGCAGTGAGGTTTCGTGATCTTCAGAAGTCAACTGAGGAAGTCACCAGTGAAACTTATGTTCTGATGTGAGCTGGGTGCTAAGGGAGGGACCGTCTTCATTTTGGTGCCTGTGGGAAACCCGAGCCATAAGTTTGGCCTTAAAATAAACAAAGTCCTGACAGCACTCACAGCACCGCAGCTATTCCTGCCACTTGAGTGTCAGCTTTGCTCTGGAACAAAGTGGAAGTTTGCTGCCAAGTACCTAAATAGGCAGCAGTCACACATGGCTCTGGCCACAGCTCCGTGCAGCCCGAATGGAGCTGTTTCAGCCATGAAACAAAGCCAAGTTCTCTGCACTGCAACAGGAATCTCGCCGAGGCAGAGCTTTTGCCAAAAACAAACAGCAGCGATTTTTATTATTTTTTTTTTCCTTTTGGTATTTCTACCATTTTATCCTTTTTTATGTTTTTGGTTTTTTTTTTTTTTTCTGTTCCAGTAATAAATGTTTTTATTAGGTATCAGAAATACAGATGCTCCAGGGCTGCACAGTAAAGCAAACATGCTGGGCAAAGGCACTGCTTAGAAGGGGGTATAAAATCAGTGCTGCCTCCGGCTCTGCTCTTTGGTTACTTAAGCCAGGATTGTTGGGCTGCAGAAAATGCATGGCACAGAGCATGGAGAGCTGCAGGGCAGCAGGGAAGGGCGAGTGGCATACAGCACATCTGTGCTTTGAGCTGCAGGAGGGGGATGGAGGCTGTTGCTGGCTTCTGGAGGACTGGAGAGATGATTTCTAGATTTATATACATACATATTTCATTTTCTACGTGTTTAGGCTGGTAAAAAAAAAAGCCAAAACAACCCACCATATATCTGCCTCAATTGGCAAAATGTACTCTTCGTGGGATGCAAAAGCTGGGTAGGATTTAAAAGGGCATTTTCGCCCTCTGTAATATTTTTGAACCACTTTATAGAATGATATAGAGAGCTGTAGGCCTGCTGCTTATTTCCTCATTTTTATAATAGGCGTATGGGTTAAATAGGTGCAGTGCTTTGCTGAAGTCTCTGGAGCTTTTGAACCACGTTGTATTACCTTTATGCAGTGTCCTTTTGGTTTGTGACATTAAACCTCATGGGAGAATCCCGCCCTGTGTGGCTCTACTGAAGAAAAATGAAACCCTGAATTGAATATTGAATGATTTACAGTAGCTCGTGCAGGGTTAACTAGGAGGCAGCAGAGCATGAGTACCTGTCAGGTACCAAGAGCCTGGAAGGGCTGAGAGATTAGAAAACTGCTTTAAGTGACAAATTAGAAGCAGAGAGGGAAGGAGCATCAGAAATGAGGATACGGCCGTGGAGCTGCTGGGCTGCATCTTGCTGGGAGGTGGCACAGAGGTGGCAGCCCAGCTCCAATCTTTCCTCTCCTGAAGGCATATTGTGCAGCAGGTTTCCAGCTGGGGGAAGGAAGAATCAGAATATTTCTGAAGTTGGGTTTAACGGCAGCGTGGCAGCAGCAGAATAAGGTGGGAAAGGAGCTTGTGTTCCCTAAGACACTGCTCTGTAGGTCAGCGTTTTTGGCTGAGCCATTGCACCCTGCGCTCAGTCAGTGGCAGTGCTCAGGGCATGGGGACCTATGCTGTCCCCACCCTGGGTTGCATCCCAGTGCTCAGCTTCCGAGGTGGAGCTGAGCTGAAGGGGCAGCTAATGACACCCCTGGATAATAATATGGCCACTGATTGTTCCTTCCATTGACTTAATAAATTGGATGGAGTGAGGCAGGAGCAGCGGAGGAAATGAGAAAGGTGTTGGGAGTGTTTTGCTCAGAAATATCTCGCTTCTGTGCTGTGCAACACAAGTGGCTGTTATTTCCACTCTCGTTAGCAATAATAACAACACCCATTTGCCTGAAACTTCATCGTAATGCACAGCAGGGCCGTGGTGCAGGAGCTGTGCTGCAGGCAGTGCTGGGTGCAGAGATTCCCACGAGACCCACAGGTCCTTAATTAACAGAAATGTGTTAAGAAACACCCAGTGGCTGTTGGATTTATTGGGAGGATAAAATTAAACATGGCTACTAAAGTCTGCCATAACCAAACCTTGTTAGCATTAATGTTCATTTATGGTTGGACTTCCCAGCATTTAATTCCCTCTCTGGAGCAGCAGAGGGATGGACGATTTAATACCCCTGAAAGATGGCTGTGTGACACTCTGGGCTGTAAATCAAACTTCTAAAGTTCATAAAAATTGTTAAAATAAAAAATGGTTTAATAGGAATGTTTTATGGCCCGTAACATTATCAGGGCTGTTTTATTCCCTCTGCATTGTTACTTGAATTGGATCACAACAATTCTTGAGATTCTCATTTTTGTTGCATAAAACGCAATCTTAAATCAGAATGACCAAAGCAATCTTCAATCTGTCCCTTGATTTATCACTGCTTTCCTTTGATCTCTGCTCCTAAGGGTCTGACCCAGCATGGGGCTCAGCACCAGAAGCCCAGGGCTGCCAGCAAGACCTTTCTCCTTCACCCAAGGAACCCAGCGTTGTGCCATCAGCTCTGTGCCAACCTGAGCATTTCTGTTGTCTGCACTGTCTGGCTCACCTCTTCTCTCTCCCCTCCCCAGGTGTCAGACCGCTCTGTTGTGGCTCTTGTCCCCAAGCAGACCTCCTCCTACAACATCCCTGCCTCCGCCAGCATCTCCCGCACATCCATCAGCAGATATGGTGAGGAGCAGAGCTGCTTTAAACAAGGATGTGTCTTGGTGGGTGTAGGGGCTGCCTTGGCCTGAAAGAATCAGGTGCAAAAAAAGCAGCAGCTTGCCCCAAAGAACTGCAGCACTCTGTCAGAAGGAAACTGCATTTGTGTGCCAAACAGAAAAAATGTGCTTCGCTGCTGGCTTTTTGCAAAGGCTTTTCCATCTGTGAGCAGAGCAGCAGAAAGGAGCGGAGAGTTTGGAACTAGATGATCTTTTAAGGTACCTTCCAACTTCAGCCATTCTATGAGTCTACGAATCTGAGAGGGGAAAAGGAAGCACCAAGGAGCACATCATGAGCAGCCCATGGGAATGTGGGACTGGGGAAGGCCCTGGGAATGGCTTTTGGCTCAGAGGGTGCTGCACCTAGAGCCATAGAGTCATTAAGGTTGGTAAAGACCTCTGAGATCACCATGTCCAGCCATCAACCACAGCACCTTTCTGCAAGGAGAGCAGACTCTGTTCTCTTTGTAAGCAGGGCTGCAGGGGAGGGAAAAAATAACAATTCCTTCATCTGTTCTTCCTGTAAGTGGAGGATCCTGACATCTCAGCTAATGGGTCAGAAATGGTAACAGCAGTGTGAACTCGATGCGCTAGCATTCGTGCTCCTGGGAATTGGTTATTTGCATAATGGCACGGTTAAGGCACTTTGCAGATGGTCCCTAAAGACTCCACGCTCTGAATAAATGAGTCTGCTAGGTGCCAGGTGTGCATTTATAGTGCTAAATCCACAATGATGGTAATAATATACTTTCATAAAAGGCAGCGGTGGCAAAATCTCTAGCACGCTGATTCTCATTATCTTGCATTATGCAGAGCGTTGTGCAGAAGAGGGGGCTCCTGGCAAACCCGTCTCCCTGTCCTGGTTATAGCTCCCCAAACAATTTATTCTCTCAAACTGGGCATCCTTGTTGCAGGAAAGCCCTCAGTCAGGCTTTCTGGTCCAGAACGTTTCTGCTGGGCAGCACAACACAACTGCAGCCCACTGCTTTGGCTCTGCAGGGGATGGGAAAACCAAAGCCAGGTCACACCACCACAGGAGTCCTCAGGGCTCATCGATCTCTGCCACGTGAAAAAGCCTCTGTGAGCCACCAATGTGAATTATCATTCCTCCCGTTAAGATTAATACTTCTAATTGCGCCGACAGAATTTAAATGAGATACTTATTTACTTTCCCCATTATATATCAGTACAGAGCTACGCTTAAAAATAGAATTACTAGATGCTTCCTTAGCCGTCCCCCTGTCTGTCTCCTTAATTATATCAGTTGGAGTACTCATTTATCTAAGCCCTAATCAGGGATGAAAATCTAGCTAGTTTTGTAATGAGCTGCACACTTCCCCTGGCTGATTTATGATTGATCTCCTTCCTCTTGCTGGGAAGGGCAAGCAGCAAACTGAAGGCTCAACTTAGGAGAACACACAAGGTTCCCACAGAACAAAGGAATTCAGTGAGAGTACAAAAATGAGCAGTGCATGACTCACGTTGGCCTCGCCGAGTTGTTAGCACCTTGTCTTGGCTCACAGAGGATGGTGTCCGGGGTGGCACATCGCTTGGCAAGTTCCACATCCCTCATCCCTTCTTGGTCTCCGTGCCAATAGGGTAGATCCCATTGCCTCTGCTCCTTGCTTCTATGAGGCTCTGTGATCAGAGTCCAGCTCCAGTTGCTCTAAGAAAGCCTCAGGAAGAAGAACCATTTCTTCTGCACTTACTATGTACAAAATATTGGTATTGGGAGACGATGGTGTTGCGTGCATGAGCTGGGATCATGGGGCATCATCCCTCACGGAGCTGTTGTGTTGCAGGTAAGGGATGAAAATGCAGGGGGAGAAGCCTCACATCTGAGTGCAGAAGGAGAAAGCTTCAGTCTGGGGGATTCTGTTCTTGGTGAAGACCAGCATGTGCTTTGTTTATAAGTGCACGGCCTATTTTGGCAAATTTCATTTTGTACGGTATTGCATTCCACTGCCCTGCAAAAACAAATCAGAGCAGATGATTCTGGCATTAACGAGAGCAGTGCCATCCCCGAGCAGAGGCAGGTGGAAGGAGGCATTACACTGAGCGTGCTCTCTCCTCTCACACTCAGATTCCACCTTCCGTTACACTGGCAGCCCTGACAGCCTGCGCTCCCGAGCCCCCATGATCACCCCAGACCTGGAGAGTGGTGTCAAAGTCTGGCACCTGGTGAAAAACCACGACCATGGTGACCAGAAGGAGGGGGACCGGGGCAGCAAGATGGTGTCCGAGATCTACCTGACAAGGCTGCTGGCTACAAAGGTAAATGGTGTGCTAAGCTTGCCTGGGAGATGCCCAGGAAGGGATGTCCATGTGGTCACTGGGGATCCTCAGCCCCCTGCCATGCCCTGGGGGTTCATTTCCATAGAGCCATTGAGTTGCTTGGATGGGGAGGGACCTCAAACATCACCCAGTTCCAACCTTCAAATTTACCCCTGAGTTTATGAATGCTTCCCCCTTATCAGCAGTGCAAGCCCAGTTTCTAAACTGAGCTGTTTAAATAGCTGTTTGCCCAGAGAGGCTGTGGATGCCCCATCCTTGGAGGTGTTCAAGGCCAGGTTGGATGGGGCCCTGGGCAGCCTGGTCTGGTATTAAAGGGGAGGTTGGTGGCCCTGCCTGTGACAGGGGGTTGGAGATTTGTGATCCTTAAGGTCCCTTCCAGCCCCGGCCATTCTGTGAAATAACAATAAAGCAACTTAACCAAGCTCGCTTTCCTTTCAGTGGTATAAAAAACCCATACATATGCTTTGCTGTAGGATACAGGCAAGCCCCCAAAATTGGAGTACTTATGCAACAGCAGTTTCTAACATCAATCCCAAATTAGCAACTACCAAGCAGGCATATCCCAAAATATCCCTCACCAAAACAAACAAACAAACAAAAAAAAGCCATCCCCAAAAAACAAAAGCTGCCATGCTGCTCCCATCAGGGCACGCTGCAGAAGTTTGTGGATGACCTCTTTGAGACGCTGTTCAGCACGGTGCACCGCGGCAGCGCGCTCCCCTTGGCCATCAAGTACATGTTTGACTTCCTGGACGAGCAGGCAGATAAGCACGGCATCCACGACACAGATGTACGGCACACCTGGAAGAGCAATTGGTAAGATGTGGCTGTTGTGGTGGGGGGAAAAATTGATGGCAGAGCTGTCAGAAGGGCCGGAGCAACACGGCGCTGTAGCCCCAGTGCGTAAATGCAGCACGGAGCCATGCAGACCCCTTCACAGCACTGCTGTCCCACACAGATGGGGCTCTGAGTGCCAATCCTGAGCTTAGCCTTCCCCAAACAATGGAGCTATTACAGCTCTGCTCTTCTGTTATTTTAGGATTAAAAGCTCTGTGGGTTGGAAATCTACCTCTGCAAGAGAGGGGAAGGAAAAAAAAGCCCACAACAAATGGCTGTTCCCTGAAGACTTTGTGCATTCCCCCAAGTCCCACATGGCTTTAAAAGCCTCTAATCACCATGTCTGCAAAAGCTGCATTCCCTGCTAAGGCAGTGGGGAGCAAAAAAACAATTTATTGAAAGCATCAGAAGGAGTTATTAGGATAAAAACGTTTGAATCACAAATAGAGATGAGTCTTCTTGAAGCAGTGACAAGGAAAGCACCGTGGGGTGGGGGTTTCTGTGCTGGCACCGCTGGGGGCTCTGACCCACATGTGGGCTCTGACCCTGCTGGGTGCTGATAGCTGCAGGGTTGCTGGGGAATGGAGCAGAGGGGAAATGGAGCAGAGCAGCAATGCCAGAATTGTTCTGGAGGATGGAGAGAGGCGTAGGCTGCTGGAGGAGGTCAGAGCAGAAGGAGCTGCAGGACAGAGCTGATGCGATGGAGGGGAGGGCATGGGCACTGCAGAGTGCAGCTGAGCTGCTGGCCCGTGGTGCAGTAAGAGTTAAGGCTGCAGCCCTCCGTGCATAGCTGGATGGAGAGAGCCAAGACTTGAAAGGTAATAGAAGGCAGCAGCTGCTTTTTTGATCCTGCTGTACAGCCAAAGAAAAAAGGAATAATAATTCCCCTTTGATTGTGAAGGCCTTGGGATCTGGGGACAAAGCCGATGATGGGCACAGAGGTGACCACACTGCCCCGGGCTCAGCCCCACTCCTCGGCCACCACAGAGGGAATGCACAGCACAGGAAGGATCTGTTCAGGCTTTTCTTAACATCCAGTTTTGTTTCTTGGTTTCCCTGCAGCCTCCCTCTCCGCTTCTGGGTGAACGTGATCAAAAACCCGCAGTTCGTCTTTGACATCCACAAAGGCAGCATCACGGATGCCTGCCTCTCGGTTGTGGCTCAGACCTTCATGGACTCATGCTCCACCTCCGAGCACCGCCTGGGCAAGGATTCCCCATCCAACAAGCTGCTGTACGCCAAGGACATCCCCAGTTACAAGAGCTGGGTGGAGAGGTAGGAGCTGGGCGGAGAGGTTGGAGTCATAGCATCCCAGTGACAAGATCCCAAGGAGAAGAGGGGGTATTTTATCCTCCCTGCTCCTCACCGAGCCTTTGGTCCCTGCAGGTATTATGCAGACATTGCCAAGCTGCCAGCCATCAGCGACCAGGACATGAATGCATACCTGGCTGAGCAGTCACGTCTGCATTCAGCTGAGTTCAACATGCTGAGCGCACTCAACGAGATCTATTCCTACGTCAGCAAATACAGCGAGGAGGTGGGTGCCCTTGGGAAGGGGACATGGGGACATTCCCCTCATTGCAGCATGGCTGTAGTTTGTGTGGCTGGTGCCCACATCTGTTCTGTTTGTGTGCAGTGAGGCTCAGGTCTTGCTCTGTAGCATTTGTCCCAGGAGAACTGATAGCTGAAATATTGGGTGAGCAACTCCATTCCTCAGCCTTGGCACAAGTGCATCTCACTCCTAAATGCAGTAAAAAAATCCTCGTGACCCAGTGAAACTCCCCTTGAATGTCCCTGTCCTTTGGGAACAGCATAGTACAAGTCCCTGGTGCATTGGTGCTCACTCCTGTTTGCACAGAATTCCTGGCAGTCTGAGCTCATTTAATGAATGCTTCACTTGAAACCAAGTTCTCACCATCTGTTCCACCCCTTCATTTCAGTGCAAAAAGAACCTATTTTGCAATTATGTCCATTAAAAGGAAGGGTTTTGTCATTTAATTGCATGTATGCATTTGTGATACAGTACTGTAGCATTTTTCCAATTAGATTTTAAAATCCCATAACTTTCATGCTAAATGAGACGAGGAATGTGGAGCCCGAGGTACAGGGCTCTGCACTGAGCAGCCCAGCAAGCAGAGGAGCACGGCTGGCTGCTCACTGCACTGCTTCACCATTTGTTACTGAAGAATTATATTCCACTACAGAACTATTAGAGTGAGACTGAGGGATTTATGATCAGTGGGGAACCTCAGAAGCTACACATCCTAAGGAAGTGTTGGCCCTACTGCTCCATCCCAATTTCTCTTGCTGTCAACTACTCCTGAGGAAACACGGGGCATTTTGCTACTCTGGGAATGTTCCCCTGCCATCCTGGGGCCCTGATCTGTCTGGTGTTTTTCACAGGCTCTTTCTGCCCCTTGAAGCACATCAATGCTCCGTGTTACTCGTGCCTTCCTACCCTGCAGTCCTGCCCACCCTCTGCTCTCTCACTGATTTCTTTCTCTTTTTTCTTTCTGTGTCAGCTCATTGGGGCTTTGGAGCAGGACGAACAGGCACGGAGGCAGCGTCTGGCATACAAAGTAGAGCAACTCATTGGTGCCATGTCCATCGAGAGCTGAAGGAAGGCTGCAGTGCGCACGGACAGCGAGGGGCAAGAGCATGGCACGGATGCCTGGGGATTCAGAGGGAGAACAAGCAGAAAGGCACTGCACACCCCAACAACCACCCTCATCAAGGGGAGCAGGGATGGCCCAGGGCCTGGCTGCGCTCAAAATCACATGGGATCTGGTTTGAAAAGGCAGGAAGATCAAGAGACAAAGCACCGCAATCAGCGTTAACTCGAGGTGGATGGCTTCTGGTATTCATGGAAAGGTAGAACCTGCAACGTCTGGATGTGTCCATGGCTGCTGCTTTGCATGAAAATCGTCTGATGTATATTAGGAAATAAAACTTTATTTAAAGGTGTTTTTGGAAAAAAAAAAAAAAAAAGGAAAAAAAAAATAGAATCAGAACAAAATCCACAAGCCACAGAGATTACCTTGGCAGCCAGGTTCGGTCCTGGTCCCATCCTCGCCATGCCCTGAGGATGTGCTCAGGCATCTGCAAATGGTCTGTTACACCAACTGGAAAGTCTGGAAGACAGCAGTCTTATTGGGATCTTACAAAAAATATGAGCACAAGTTTGCACCACACCTGTCCACACAAGCAAGATAGCAGCTTAGCCAGAAATAGTTCACTGGCTGAGTAACTTGTAGGCACTAGAAGGAAATTGTTGTGAATTGCAAAACCATCCAATCATCCAACTTGTCTTGAAATCCAGCTTTATCTATGTATTTATACGGTGTCTATATATATATATATATTTTAAATCTCATTTACTGTTGAATGCAGAAGGATCCTGTTGAAGCGCGGTGCTCTTGCAGCCATGGCAGGAGGAGAGCGGAGCTGTCTGTGGTTTTTGCAGTAAAACCAACCCCAAACCCAATGTTTACAGTGAGCAATACTTGAAATGCCGAGCTGTGGCAAGATGCTGTTTATTATTCTCTGTTTGACTTCGGACCAGAGAAGCACGGGATCGTAGGTGATGTCACCCACGGGGCAGGCCCATGGCTTTCATTTCCGTGAAGGAAGGGAAAGAAATCTCTGCTCTAGACAAGGGAAACCCATAGGCAGCGCTGTCAGTGCCAGCTGCTGTCCGTGTGTCTGTCCAAGCATCTTGTCCTTACCTTCCGTTCTTCGCTGGCCCAATGGCACGTCTTCTTGTGGCCAGGCAGATGTCTGTGAGTGTTATTTCTTTAAAAGACACCAAAGCTTATGTGTCCCTTTGTAGAGTGCCAGGATGGGAAGGAGCTCTGTAAATATTCCCCTCTGTAATAAATGCTGATATCTGCGCAGGCTGCGACAGGGAGGACAGGGCCGTTGGACCTGATGGGGAGAGAGGCATCAACCATGGGAGCTGACAGCAGCAGAGTCCCTCCTCAGACTGCTTCTTCCCAGATGCCAAGGAGAAGCACGCTGGATGCTTGGGATATTTGAGCACGATGCTGTGGAGCTGCACCATAAGTCACCAGGTGGGGTGGTCTGGACCTCGGTCTGCTGCGTGCAGCAAAAGAGAAGCAATTTCTGTGAGCACCAGGAGTGAGGTGGCTCTTGTTGAGGGGATGAGGTCCCAGGGCCAGCAGGAGGAGCTGACACGCATCCAAACATCTCAGGAAACTCAGTGTTGTAATGACCCTTTGCTGAAAGCCATGCTGAGCCCACTTGCTTCTGTGCATTTTTCTGGGTCAGTTGGTAGTGTGGAGGAAGATCTGGTGGTCAGCCTCATGCAGCACAGTCTGAGTTGTGTGATGAGAGGCTCTGAGATGGGAGAGCTGTGCAGAGAGAGGCGTAGGAAGGATGTATGTTGTTGTAGTCATTGCTTTGAGTATTGATGTTCAGACTGTTCACCAAATCCTTATGGTACTCTGGAACACTCAAAATGGTTTTCAAACACTTCTGAATATTGATCTAAATAGTTATTTCTGTGGGACTGATAAAATACGACTATACCCAAAGCAAAGACCTGGATGCTGCTGGCTGTGCTGCCATGCAGCCTGCATTTTGCTTACTGCCCATCTCTCCATGAGGCTTTTGCACAGCCAGGTCCCTGTCTCCTGGCCAAGCTGCGTGGAGCTGAGGAGAACAGGGAAACCAAGAGGAGCTCATTGCAGAACAGTGGGGTACTGAGGTCTGAGTGGTTTCCACGGAAGACAGCAGGAATAGCTCTTCATCCATCACCGTGGAGGCATCAGGAGGATGGCGTAGAAGCAGCACGGTGCTGACTGGAAGGAGTGGTCTGTAGATAAACCACCGAGCATCTACTTGTGATGGTAGCCATGAATTATGGATCTTCATGGTCAGTTACATGGGATGAAGCAACATATCCCCTCGGGGCAAAGAACTTGTAATCTATTGCCCTGCTTGCATCCAACTCTTCGGTTACTCTTTGAAGAGGAAACTGAAAAGCTCCAAGGGGCATTTCCTCTGCACTGCAGCAAATGGACTCAAGGTTTGGTCAGGAGGGGCAGTGACTTTGCCTTAGATGAAATGATTTCACCTCTGTCTCGTGGCCCCTTCCTCCTGCGGGGCTGTTGGTGTTGTGGTTCTCCAGTTCACTTCGTTTCAGGTATTTTGACATCAAAGTGGGAGACGTCACTTTCTGGAATCTCTCTGCCTGATGTCAATGCTTAAATAATTCCATTTAATCTTCTGCTCATGTACTATCAAAGCACCCACTCCAAGGGGGAGCAAGGTGCTAATCAAATGCTTCTCCACCTTGAAAGCCTTTATTAAAAGCCCATATACCAGAGTCTAACTTACAGGCAAGCTCGTCTCTGCAGGAGCCCTGCTGTGGAATACCCAGCACCGTGCAGAGGTGCAGTCCCCTCCATGCCATAAGGGATGGATTTATGCTTAAAGGAGGGCAGGACACATCAAAACAGCTGGGTTGCTGTGGACTCCCTGGGGCCTTCAGCGGGGATGGGACACACGGTGCTGGGACACGTGGGGTTGGCAGGCGCAGCTGCCCGGCGCGGAGCCACCAGAGACCTCCATCACAGCAGTGCCTTCAACACTCTGTCTTAACAATGGCCCGGTCCTGTAGAAATTACCCACCCTGCCTTGAAATGGACCTCACCAAAAACATCGTAACGTACCCAGCAGTTTGGGTGAGCACAGGGAAGCCAATAGCAAGAGGACGTAATGCTCTCTGTTTGTGTTCTGTGTGATGCTGACCTCAGTGCAAGTCCTTGCTGTCGGTCCAAGGCTCAGAGCACTGAGCTGCCCACTGCTCCAGTGCAATCCTGGGATGCTCCAGTGCCTCCAGCCCTCACCCAGCCCTACTCCTGCTTGCTGGTCTCTCTCCACTCCATTCCCAGTGCTCAGCTCAAAATGGACCGAGTGGAGCAAGAGAGGGCATCGTGAGGACTCATGAGTGGCCGTACCTTGGAGAAAAGAAAAAAGTGTTTGGGGATGGTTAAGTAATTGATATCAAAGATGCGCTAAAATGCCACAAAATTTGCCATCCAGTTTGGGAATGGCGTTCGTGCCACAGTTTGTGAACCGTTGAGGCAGGGAGCTGCTGCCCTGCCTGTGGATGCGTGCTGGGTGAGCTGGGAGAGCCATGGATGTGTCCTTGGTGAGAGCCCCGTTTTGCCCCGTGCTGTCCTGCTCTCACGTAGGCAGGACTTTATTTTAACTGGACATTGGATGGGAAAATAATGAGATTAAGGATGTTGGTGTACGCTGTGAAGAAGATGCGTTCTGGATCCGCTGGGCTGAGCAAAGCTGAACGCACGATTTCGGTGTGGTTTGGGTTTAGAGGGGAAGAGGATGGAAGTCCTCAGAGGGATTTTCTCCTCGTGGAAGGCGCTGCTCAAAGCACATGGCACCATGGGTTGGCACAGGGTGGCACAGGGTGGCAGGTGTTGTGGCCATGCTGTGGGCACGGCAGTGTCTGTGTGCTTGTTCTTGTCCCCGTGTCACCCCCTTCTCCTTCTTCCTTTCTGAAAGTGGAATATAATAATGACAAAACGTGTCTTCCTGCAGCATCTGATCTGCAGGGTCCATCCATTGCATGGACAGTGCCCCAAACTCTGGGCCTCCAAAGGGGAGGGAACACACAGGTACTAAAACTTCTGGGATCCCCAGAAACGAGGCCCCATAATGTCATAGAATGTAGAGGTATCGATCGTGGAACAGATTTTTATGTTTTTCTGCCCCGCTCCTTACAGTAAATGATGCCATTTCTAGGGGTTGTGTGTTGGCAGGAATAACGAATGGATTTGTATCCGTACCCATTCCACCTTATTGTTCTCTGGTTCCTCCCCTCCCATTATACTTGACACACTGGAGTTCTGTATTATATATTTTTTTTTAAGATGATTGTCTGTTTGTTTGGTTTATTTTTTGGTTGTTGTTTTTATAAGTGCTGTGGAAAAATAAAAAAAAAAAATGTAAGAAAGTTTAAGTATTTAAAAATGTTCCAAGGAAAAAGGGGGTTTTGTTATTATTCTAATATATTATTGTGTACCTATTGTAAATATGAAACACTCCTATTTTGCAAGCCAAGGACTCACTTTGTACTGTTGTTATATATAAATAAAGTTTACTGGTTAAAAAAACAACAACAAAAAGCACGGCGTGAGTGGGTCCTTCTGTTCTGCCGCGTGGTGTGCAGCAGTTCTGCCTTTGCAACAGGAAATACTTGGCTGTGATGAGGTGAGAATGCTCATTGGGTGCAGGTGGGCACGCGGGGGTCGGTGGGGCCGAGCTTTGTCTGTGGTGAAGGGACAAAGGGGAGGGGGCTGCAGCTTTGTTTGGCCCCTCTTTCTGCTTTTTCAGATCCTCCGCTGCAGGGTTTTTTGCTCCATGTCTTCAGGAAGTGCTAGATGTCATCCTGAAGGCAGCAGAAGGTCCCTCCTCCGGGCAGCTTTCCTTGCATGGGACAGAGAATACAGGATCCGGATCGGCAGCGCTCGGTGGTGGGAATGAGCACGCAAATGGTGTTTGCCAATCGATCAGGTGGGCCCTTCATTTCTTTCCCCATTGAGATGATTGGTCCTCACGGTAAAACGCGTTTGCTTTCATTTCATAAATTCAAGCTAACGTTTGAGCAAATGCTGAGAGGCGTCTGCTGAGTGGTAGGAATCAGCAAGTGACTTCTCCAGCAGCTGTCTGTCAACTTTAATGACCAATATGGTTGCAATTACAGCAATGAACTTTCTCTAACAGCCCCAAATTACTCCGCATGATGATAAGTGACAGAAAAACAGAGACCCTTAAGGAAAGACTGAAAAAGAAACACGGGGATCTCAAACGAGAGGTTTCACCGCTTCTTCTGAAGGGTCTTGGTTTCTCCTTTTTAAATGAGGTAATTGAAAGGATAAATCCAAGGCAGGAGGCGGCTCGCAGCAGGGAGCTCCGTGCTGCCCCGAGATGTGGTTTTATTCAGCCACTTGACACCGAGTCCGCTTGTTTTAGTGCAGTGCTAACAGGCTGATGGGAAGCTCTTCCTATTTGAAGCTAATGCAAATATGTCAGGGAGACAGCCTGCTCCTCAGGCAGGTCATTTCGTCTTATTTTGTTCACATTGAGAGCAAAGCTTGACACGAATGCTAGGAAGCAGCTGGGCCGCATCCTGCTTGCTGCCTGCCACCTGAACCAGCAGAGCTCAGCCTTTTGCAGATCCATCCCATGGTCTCCACCTGCAGCTGTTTGTGCTAAACTGGGAGGTGCTGGGATGGAGCATCTTTGTGGATGTCTTGCAGAGCTGAAAAACAGTAGAGGAGACGATCGCTTTTCATCTGTGCTCTGGGTTAATCCACATGGGAAGACATGAAGTGAGATACCCAGAGCTTTCCAAAAGGCTGCAGGAGGGGAAGGGACGTGCAGGAGCCCCAGGGATGCTAGGACCTGCTCTGACTCACCCTGTGCTGTAGCAGAGATGCTGGTGGCAGCAGCAGGGCCCTTTTCCACCCCCTGGGAATGTGATTGGCTCCTTCAGCTCCTCAAAGTCAAAAGGAATTTCGACGTGAATCGAAAGCATTAAACGGGGTAATTTGTATTCATCTGAGCCCTGTTCATATATTTAATATAATAAGTATACTCAATTAAAACTACATTTTATCTGGCATGCACTTCCCAGGGCTTTATCGGCACTGACAAGGTCAAGTGATGCTTAGTAAAGGTTATATAAAATGCAGATGGCTCAGAGCCCTCAGTCAGTTCCCATGTCCAATGTGGAGAAGGTATGAACCACAAACAGCACTTTGGGAGGCACTGCTGGAACAGATCCCTGGGCTTGGGCTGAGGCTGTGGTCCTCAGGTCTTCCTCCCAAAGCCCGAGAGCCTGGCATCACCACCAGCCTCAGGAGCTGCCTCAGTTCCAGCTTTATTCCCCCCTCCAGACAGGATTGGCCTATTGATTGCAGATTGCCATCGCTCTGTAAGTAGTGGGAAGGAGTTTGGACATCCTGGAGCTGGCTTTTCCAGCTTGGTTATCAAGATGAGCTAATGGAAGTGACGCTTGGAATTATCAACTGCAATCATGGCATTAATTTTGACCTGTTTAAATTCCAGCCTCTTTTCTGTTCTGTGGATGCTTAGCTAGAGGGTGACATGTAATTGTATGCAACCAGACAGTTATCCTAAGTGGGCAATAAGAAACACAGGAGTCTATTGCTTTTCATTCCAATAAGCATGCGTGGGGTTGCTAGATGGAAGTGGCCAGCTCATTGCTAATGGAAATTTATTTTGAGTTATGGGTGGCAGACAGTGAGACGTGTCCAACAAATACCAACTCTGGAGCAGTCCCTGGTTTTGAAGGTGAAAACTATCCAAAATGACACTTCTTTTGCTTCATCATAGGTTTTGCTTCTTAAGCACCAAGTGCTTGCCGTCGGACTGCCAGAGATGCTGATTGCTGTTCTGCACTCCCTATCCAGAATTTTGGGGCTAAACCTTTCCCTATAGGCAGATATCAGTGGAACAGAAAGTGACGTCTCTGCAAACACAGGAATCTTTGCTGGTCCTGGTTGGGATACACACAGATGTGTAGATATGGTTGTCCAGGTATGTGTATATAAAATAACGTGAATGCATTACAGTACAAAATAAAATAGATGTGTGGCATAATGCAGAGTGAACGTTCCTATTTATACCCCAGCTTTTGTGTTAAATTACAGATACCAGAGCTGAGGCAAAGGGTTTGGTTTTAGTTCAAAATAATACTTATGAAAATGGAAAGCACTCCGTTTTTATTGTTGCTTCATAATTAGCTCCAGTGAGAGAATCTTATTACAAATGTTCCATGCTGCCCTATGGCAAAACGTCAAAGAAAAGGGAAGGATGGCCAAGCTTAAGCAACTCAGGTAAGAATTAACTCCACGGTAATATCTGATAATTAAGAATGTCTCTATCAGCTTGTCTCGCTATTAATGAATTGGGCTGCTCTTTTCACGTTTGATTGCTGGTGCTTTATGACTGCCATTTCACCCTTAATGCTCCTGGAAATGGGCTTTCCTGTCTGGGGAGCGAGCACCAGAAATAATGGTTGGGGATTTATAAACGGGTCCTATTCTCTCCCCAGTAAAACTGCTGTTCTTTTCATCCAGTGAGGCCATATGGGTGTCCTCCCCAGTGCTCCCAGCTCACCCCATGCCTCCTTCCCCTCAGAGCAGGGCTGGGAAGGGAGCAGGAGGTTCCCCCACGACTATGGGCTATGGAATGAGCTCTGTCCTGCAGCCTGCTTAAAACAAAGCCAGTTTCATTGATACCACCTGAAAAAATGCACTCGCACTGTGATGGCTTTGCTCCTTTGCTCAGCCTCAGGAGGAGCTGCAGGATCTGCTGTGCTCCCAGTGCTGGAGGCATTGCAACCCCATGGTGTCTCCAAGCAATCAGTATCCTCCACTGACTCCTTCAGTGGAGAGAATGCCCCCCCTGTGCTCCACTGCCAGCTTCCTTGCAGGCACTGTGAGTGCAACCCATCAGCCTTTCTCTGCTCCAAAATCTCTAAGGATGCTCCTTCCCATCCCATACCCATTGCTGGGAGGTCTCATTCAACTCTGAGGGCACTCAGTAGGACTGAGCTTTGAGGAGATAATAGAAATGCTTACAAGTAAGGTTTTTGTTTGTCTGTTTGTTTTTGATTTGGGTTCCTTTTTCTTTTTTTGGCCATGTTCAGCTTTCAAAGGAGAGAATCTCAGGAGCTGAGCTGCTTTTGCATGACTTTTTAACCATTCTCTCGACGTCTGCTTGGCTCTTGCAGCAGGAACTCACCATCTCTGCGAGCTCAGCACAAAGGCATGGCCTGGGGCTGTACAGGGCTGTATGGGCTGGGTCACAGACCTCGTGCTTTGCTTGTGCTCATGCACACTGCATTGTGGCCTTCAACAAGCGTGGGTCCGAGGGCCATCACCCTGCCCAGGAGGGAGGTGGCTGAGGGCCACACACACAGCAGAAGTAAAGCAAGCAGAAGATCAAGCCTCAGAAACACTCAAATCCACTCCAGGAGGTAAATCAAAGCATCGCTTTGTGCACGGAGCTTTCCTTGCCTGCACAGACTCCCAGCTCTGTGCTGATTGCAGGCATCTCCCGAAGCCCTCATTCATGCAAACCATCCATCAGCTGAGTGGGGGCTCTGCACAGAGCTCACCCCCCAGCCCCTCACCTCTGGAACAGCACAGAATCCTTCTCCATCTGCAGCTGAGCAGCGTGGAGGCAGCTGGTGGAAGGTAATACCCCAGTGCTGGGGGATTAGCTGGTTGGTAATGAATATGAGCGGAGCAATAATCTGCAGAGTGATTAATATGGATGTGATTTTTTTCTTTTTTTTTTTTTTTTTTTTTTTGGATTAATAAGGATGCAGCAGAGCTGCCTGCTCAGGAAAGAAGTTTGCAATCATCAGCTTGGATGCAGTGACCATTACCTTAATGCTGTGATTAAATCCACGTCTAAGACACTTCATTAAATTAGAGTGTAAGTGAATTCTTCTAACCCTCAGCAAGAAATGCATTCAGGCCCAGTAGGAGAGGAATACAAGGAGATCCCCAGAGAGCAGCAGGCATGGGGTGCAGAGATGCTCTGTAATGCATTGAGTTTTCCCATCTCACCTGGGAAAGGAGAATGGAGAACCAAAGGGGCTGCAGCCCCTTCCCTGCTGTTCAGTGCAGGTAAGCACAAGGCACCTCGCCGTGCAGAGGGGTCCCTCATGAAGCAGGGCCACCCCACTCATACGTACACAAACCCACACACCCTCTGTGTGTTTGTACAACAATCCTTTTTAATTTTCTGGTTGGCTTGGCAAATCGCAGCTGCTCCTTACGCAGAGCTCTGCGAGCCACGTTGGCACAGGTTTCCATTTCCATACAGCATTTCTTTTCATTTCCTTCTCTCTGTTGTCTCACTAAGAAGCCAGGTGAAATGCTGTAGGTGGCTGGGATGGGGGAGAGGTGTGGGGCATGCAGGGAGGGTGAGAGCCACAATTTGGGTGACACGGCCCTGGGCCAGGCTTGCTGGGGCTGCTGCAGTGGAGAGTTGCAACCAGGTTTGCTTTCCACCTGCTTTGCTTTAATGGTTTAGGCTCACCA